AATGACTCAGCTGTAAATGATTTATGATGATGTTAACATGCTCATCACTGCATCATCTAAATTTAATTTCAGTGCGTAGTAGGACTTCCAGTGTAAAGACCGTGTCACATCAGCAAAAACAAAAAACATATCTGCTAAATATTTTGTTTCTGCAACCTTGGTGATGTCATGATTTATAGGAATTTATAGCATTATTAAAAAGGTGTGTTTTGCATATTTAGGTTTCTGCTTGCAAGCTCTGTTTTGCAGGTTTGCACATTCAGCTTCAGGCTTGCAACTGAACTTTCACAAACATTGAGGAACAGAAAACATGATTTTACAAGTTAATCTCTTGATTATGCTCATAAATCACTATTACATTTTATGCATTTAGTTTTAATGTTTAACCCATTAAATCACAAATTTTTTATACAAATCAGATGTCATTAGTAATCTTTAAATAACCAATTATTATTTGTTTTCAATTTTTCTATGGAAAAGTAGGTGAAAATGTGTATTTTATGGTTGGTCATAATTGCAACCAATTTGTAGACTGAATTAATGTATTTCTCCTATGCAGTCATCACAATTCTTATATCTCCAAGCCCAGAAATTAAAACATGTAAAACTTATCTAGTACCCATCATTAACACTAGAATAATGCTATCAAATTCTAATCTAAAAATATTCCTTGACCTTACCGTTAAGCCTGTTTTGGAGTTTTGGAGATAAAGGGACCTGCAATGGCAAGAACAGCTGAACTGAAATAGTTTTTCTGTCATGGGTGTAATTCATCATCTTTTTAGTGCATCAAATAAACATGGATATACATACAAATATAAATATATATATATATATATATAAATATATATATATACACACACTCTTTACAACTTTGATTTTTACTCAGTGAATACGAGTTTTTATATATATTTAAGACTCTAAATTGTGTGCGCTAAAACAGAATATTAGCATATAAAGATAAGTCACTTGGTCGTGGTCATGTACATAAATATATAACACAGACTCACATGCACTTTTTGTTGACAGTAGATGTACACAGCTCCTGTCAGAAATATTAACACCCTGGACCACATTGTTACTCTGGGGGAAAAAAACACGTCACATAAACTAATAGTAGAACCAATTATGGAACAAGGAGACTGGTAACGCACACATCACTAATACACATACACACTCACGAGCACTTTGTTTGGAACACCTGTACACCTGCTTATTCATGCAATTATCCAATCAGCCAATCACGTGGCAGCAGTGAAATGTATAAAATCCTGCAGATAGATTTCTGATGAGGCAGCAGATGAATCCACGGACCCAACCTGCCTTGTGTCAACAGTCCAGGTTGGGGGTGGTGGTGTAACGGTGTTGAGGATATTTTCTTGTCACTCTTTGGGCTCCTTAATCAATCATGGTCTGAATGTCACAGTCAATCTTAGTATTGTCACTGACCATGTTCATCCCTTTATGGCCTCATTTTACCATATTCTAAAGGTGAGTGACCCCCAGTTGACAGACCTGAATCCAGTAGAACACCTTTGGGATGTGGTTGTGGGTTTTAAACATACCTTTGTTCATCCTTTATTAAGAAAACACCCAATCCGGATTCTACATCCTTAAATAATTATAGACCCATGTCCAAATTGTGTTTTTTATCCAAGGTCACAGTATCTTCCTACATTGTCTAGAGACATGGGTAGGCATTATTATCATTTCTATGGCAATGACACCCAGTTATATATTCCTCTAAGGCCCAATTATATTAAGGACATTAAGGAATCTAAGGGTAATATTTGATGCCAACATAAGCTTTGATAATCAAGTCACGTGAATCAGTCTTGTTTTTACCAGCTCAGGATCACTTCTAAAATCAGATCATTTCAATCAATCACTGACCTACAAAGGTCAAAGTTGTACATACTGTACATTTATTTAGATTTCAGAATGATTTTATTGCTGACTTTTAAGGCCTTTAATGGCTCAGCCCACAATTACATCTCTGATTTGTTCTGGTCACCCCAAGGTCAAGGCTTGTGACTAATTCTCTTCTCAAGATGCATTTCTTTCCAGATCTTTTTATTTATGTATTTTTTTTTAAATTTATGCTCAGGTACTTTGGAGTTTTCTTTTATTTTGTCAAGCACTTTCGTAACTTTGCTAAGAAGAGTGCTAAATAAATAAAGTTATTATTATTATTACAATTATCATTTTGTCAAATAAAATTGAGCTTAAACAATCAAACAACAGAAACTTAAGTCACACAGTATGACATTTTAACATTTTAAAAGTATGTGACTTTCTGTCACATACTTTTATTTGACATGCTGTGTCAACACGATCCATTATTGGTGCATTTACAGTATTATAAATCATGAATAGCTTTTATGACAACCTTATGCGCAGCTAGCTGTAAAGATCATATTTTAGGATGTTGTACTTGTTTGCATCACTTTGCATTCGAACTATGAACACAAACAAGCAGGTGTTAGTTTTCAGTTTCTCCTAACAGTGCACAACATGTTGTGCCATATACCAAGTATAGTCAATGATGTGGTTCAGTTCATGCCCACCTCATTTTCTTGTTGAGGTCAGATATGGTTTCCTTTTAGCCATTGTTATACTGTGGTTATGTAACACTGAACAGCGCAGCCGGTCTCTTTAACTAACAGCACATGAATGGCACAAACAGTGGGGCACAAAAGTCTGAGACCATTCTCCCATTCACTTGAATGGGATGCACAAATATGCAGATGTTCATTAACAGACAGGCAGATATGAGTCATGAATACACACTTGCTCGCTGAAATACCCCACTGATAATAATGAGTATTATGATTCTTTTTGAAGGTTACAATGTCCATTATTGTTAGAGATTTTGGTACGGTGACCTGTTTACCTCCTATTAGTTTGTTTGACGAAACACAAGGTTTCAAGCAGAAATTAAACATCACAAGCTTCCTAAATTAAAATTCCTAAATAGGAAAAGCCAATACAAATTTACACTGAATAGAAATTTCATTTTGATTGACTACAAATTTGAAGTTTTCTTATGCAATAACATCATAATATCACACCATGTGTTTTTCAAGGTGCCAGTTACATTAGTATCTCAATATTAGGGATACAACTGTCTATAGTACAGTTAAGTAGATCGTATGTAGTAAGCTCCCTTCTCTGTTCAGATCACATCTCATTGACAAAGATTAAAATTCGCTCATAAAAAGCTCTTACCTTGGCTTTACACAGTCGAGCGACCTGTCTTTGGTGCAGTTAGCAAACAGAAATCCAACTGTACTCCATATCTGTCAGGCACACATCAGAGTTACAATCAAAGTAAGTCAGAGCATCTATCAGAAAGACTGGGTTAGACTAGACAGGGTGTGTGTGTGTGTGTGTGTGTGTGTGTGTGTGTGTGTGTGTGTGTGTGTGTGTGTACGTGTTGGGTGTGTGTGGAGGGTTTGAGACATTGCAATGTCCTGGCTTTGTGCTAAAAGACCATTTGCATCAATGGCATGTCTCCACAACAGCTGGTCTGGTCAGCATGCCTTTTAGTTTTCCATATATTATTATATTTGTCTACCAAATCAAGCACTCTCCTTCCAGAGGTCACACAACAGATGCCTGTCTCATGAAACCAATTCTGCTCTTTGAGTCAGCTGTCCTCCTAAAACTTAACACTGAGGAGCCTCGGTTATTATAGAGCAGGTACTGGCTCTATAAACGAGATGATGATTGCTTGAAAGAAGTAGGGTCACCAATAAATAACCAATTACCTGCAACAGAGACAGATCCAGATCAGACTCAGGATCAGTGGCGGAAAATAATTAAGTACATTTACTAATGTACGGAACTTGAAGATCATTTTAAAGGTACTTAAACTTGGTCAAGATCAGACAGAGGAAAGTGTGTGGAGGGCAGTGATGCAGACAGAGAAACCATCAGCTGCCTCTTGCCCACTTTCCATATTTCTTTTCTTCACTTTAGGTTAACAAGCTAACACACGTTGGGTAGCATTTGCATAGCAGCAAAGACGATGTAATGATCCTTGTAGACTTTGGGCTCTGCTACAGGCAGATAGGTAGGTCTATACTTTTTTTTTCATTTATTAGCCATGCTGACTACCCTTTGTTAGGGTCGTGAGAGGGGCTGGAGGCAGTCCCAGCTGACAGTGGGCGAGGCACACCCTGGAAAGGTCCCCAGTCTATCGCACAGCTGCCACCTATTCACACCTACAGGTAATTTAGAGTCATGCTGAAGATGGAGCATCTGGAAGAAACACGCAGACATGAGGAGAACTTGAAAAAGTCCAGACAGAGAGACTGTGAGAATTGTGATTGTGAAAAGTACTGAGAAAAGTGATAATGACTTGAAAATTATATAATGATAAAACAAGTGGTTTTGGTAGGTTTTTTTTGTCCAGGTTAAACAAACAAAATAGGTATTATGTGTTAATCAGTGAGCTTCCTTATACGATGCCAAGCTAACCATCTGCTTGCTGTAGGAGAAGCAGGAGATTATTAGTTTAGGTTAGCATAAAGATCGGAAGCTAGCCTGGCCTTCAAAAATACACCTACCAGCACCTTTAAAGCTTATTTATTTAACAAGTTCTAACTTGTTCTACAGGGTATTGTGTGCTGTTCCTCTCTGGGAACTGTAGACTTCCTGGACTCTTAGAAATCCAGAAAGTAACTGCATCCAGCTGCTAGTGCAGTAGGATATAATGTCCTGCATTGTTGACCCACTAGCACTGTTGGGAAAGAGCACAATGTCAGGCAATGCAAATAATTCTACATAAAGACAGCAACACAAAAATAGCCACGACTACAGTCATTATATTGTCATGGACTTTGCTAAATGGTGCTTTTGTTTGGATAGAAAAAATCGAGGCTGAACGTGTTAATCTATTGGAGTGAGTCAAGTTGTGCCTTGTTTAAGGTCCTGTATTTTGTCTAACAAATAGAGTATGTGTAATATTCATGTTTATGTCTTTATTTAAACTCGAAGATCACTGAGGGTAAAACCCTCATTTACAATGATGTGGAACAGATAAAAAAATACAAGTAAAAAAGGATATGAAATTAAAACAAACATTGGTGCCACTTTTAGTGGTGATGATGAGGCTGTGGAGAAAAGTATAAATTGAGATTTGTCTGCATTTAAAACTAATTTATAGTCATTGAGAGCAACTTCTCTAGACTGTACAGTATCCACAATGCATAAAGATGATAAAGATGGATATTACAACCAGTTGCAGAAGAAACAACATCATTTATATATAGAATAAAAAGAACAGGTCCAAGGATATGTAATGGAGTTACATAGGCAGTCTACCAAACCGTGGGAACTGTGCCAGACCAAATTGAAAGGTCAAAAATATATGTTTTGTAGTTTACTACAATTGGTTCAGCAAGCTTTAAAAGACTTCTGGTTAAGAGAATTCACTGCCTTCCAGAATTTGATGGATTAGAATATGAACTGGAAATTAAAAGCAAATAATAATTGGTTTTAACCTTCCTTATCTTTGACAAATAGATAAATATCATAATATAAGTGCAACAAGTATTATACAAAAAAAGGAGAACAAAATGAAGATGTTAAATTTTTTGTGCAATAACTTCAGGTCTGTTTGACATTTACTAGTGTGTGTTAGCTTGTAAGGAGTGACTGCGACATAAGTGCGGGTGTCAGCCTGAGGCTCTGTGGAAGACTTATTTTACATACATTCACATGCAAGATATAAAAACAAACTAAATAACTTTCATCTAAAAAAAAGATGCAGCACCTTAAACACCAAACACTGGCCTTACTTCTTATTACGTCTTACATTTCAGTTTTGAGAATTCAACTCTTTTGTGAAACACAAATGAAGGCATGTTGACAGTGTGATGGAACTTTAATAAAATGAGCAGCCTGTCAACAATTTTGTGCACAGCTGTGAAAGCAGTGTAGTCGTGACTTGCACGCACGCACGCGCACACACACGCGCGCACACCCACACACACACACACACACAGGTCCTCACAAAGATAGCAATATACTGATTGTGAGAGATTTCTTCCTGCTATATTATATATAGTATACTAAAAAGAGCTTATGTTTTCTCTGAGTACTTCCTGGTGCTCACTTTACCTTGTTTGGAATTATATTTGACTGATGGTCCTGTCCAAGACAATTTGTCATTGTGATGTCACCCCTTGAATAAACAAGTTCACTGATCTGTGCAAGACAGCCTCGCCTTGTGTAACTGATTTGATTGGCAAACCAAAACAACAGCTGTTTTGCATCTACTTTGTAGTTGAATACTTGCACACACACACACACACACGCACACACACACACACACACACACACACACACACACTCCATGGCTTAACCATAACCTTATCCTAACCATAAAACACGTCCTCACCTCAAATTGAATTATTTACATTATTGTCCTCATAAGGAAGATAAGTTCCCATAAGGCGAGTGTGTAAACTGATTAAGGTCCCCACAACATGAGGAGTACCTGGAACACACACTCACACACACACACACACACACACACACACACACACACACACACACACACACACACACACACACACACAATCTTTTACAGACACAATTAACAGTTTGTAAACTTTCAAATTATATTCACTTTTACAAGACATCAGATATTAAATAACAATTGTCAAAATCAATCACAATCTGCTGGTATGGTTTGCTTGGCTGGTTGTAATACCGACTGACCGACCGTCTGCAAAGATCATCAGGTGTTGAAGGATTGAGATACGCCGGAGTCATTAGATGACATATTGTAACCATCTGGAAAAACAGCAAAAAAAAAAAAACACGATTAAGTTTGAGGCAAAACAATGTGATAGACAGAAAAACAAGGCTGTACAGTGGTGCCTTTAGCTAAATGCTAAAGTCGGCATGCGAACACGCAGAATGGCCAGAGCAGGACAAGCAGTCATTATTATTTGGAGAGTTCTCGCATTATTCCAAGATGGTTGCCCACACTGCTATCTCTGTACGCAGAGAAAACGCCATACACATTCTTTTGTTGTGTTGCTGTTTGTGGTGGTTTGTTGACAAGTGGAACCACATATAAACAAGAAATCAGTTCAATCACTTGTATTCAGGTAATCACAATTGTGACCACCAAAACTTTTCTACTAAAAGTATAAGGTGTCTTATTCCAATTAACACATCATCTCCTACAAAGCTTGAGTCTGAACAAAGCCCTTAAATTAAGTTTTATTAATATCAGATAATTGTTTATTAAAGCCTTACTGATAAATCATTTGATTCTTCAACATTGTCTCAATATGATTGGTTTATGTGAAACATTAACCTGATGTGCCAGAAGGTTGGCAATTGTTTGGAAAAGAAAGAAACAAAAAAAAAAACTTGGCAGGTGATTGGATGAACCGTCTGTCTATCATGTGATGTAGGAGGAGCGCACCGAGGAAACAGAGGAAACACTGCTCTGAAAGTTAGTCAGCATGTTGGTAGATTATTTTTGCCATAGTTCTAAGGAAAATATGCAAAAAAAAAAAGAGGCACAAAAACCAAAACAGTCGCTTCTCCATAGTTGTTCCTCGCAGAAGTTCCTCCCTCATAAGAGGCTGATTGGTTCAAACCACTGTGGTTTTGCCACAAGCCAGTCGCTTGAGGCCTGGCAAAATGTATTCTCACTTACCAGAGGTCATTAAATCATTAATGAAGAAGCCTGTTTGTCTGCTGTGAAAAGTTGGATGTCACATAACTTCCTCCTGATTGTGGCTTCTTACTTTCAGATTCTTCCCCTTGTCTAAAGTATTAAACAAATGGAAATCTGACTAGGTGGTAATAGATTAAAAGTTGAGGGAAAACCCATTTATCATAAACATTACGATATTCTGGGGAACATGAATGTCTCTACCAAAATGTTGTGCCAATCCATCAAGTAAGTGTTGAGATATTTCCCAAGATACTGTAAGGTGAAAACCTGCTGGATGGCAGATGAAAGGTCAGGGATGACCAGAGTCATTAGGATTCATCCCAAAACTTCACAGCAATCCATTCAATAGTTGTTTAAATATTTCAGCCTAAATCAAAGTACTGCACCGACCCACTACACTAGCATTTTGAAATGTATCTTTCTTTCTTATTGAACTGTTGCTATACCTCTTCCTCTTCTCCAGTTCCGTAAAAGGCCCAATCCACTTGTTGATGATATTCCAGCGCTGGTGCTCTAAAACAAGAATATAAGAAAAACCATGACTCACCACAATATTTTAAAAAGGGACTGATGAGCTGCGACCAAAAAAATAAAATAAAGAAAGACATGATTTAGAAAACTGTTCTTACCCTTGTGCCACCGCTGGATGTTTGCGACTTGATTGCTATTTCTGACCGCACCTGAAAAGTTAATTCTCAAAAATTAGCACACTGCTTTAAAACTAAAACAAGTTAATTTCAAATAGAATATGTGTTTTTAAAAGATCAACAAGTCAGAATTTATGAAGTTCAGTGAGGCGGAGGGTGTTACCAGTGTTCTGGATTTCAACCAGCTACTAGCTCAGGGAGGGACGGCTAAGGAGCTAATATGCTCAATGCTAACTTCTGACAACAGTTGTATTACTGCAGTGTTTATTTTACTCATGTTATTATTGTTACAGACAATCACGACTAAGAAGTGAAAGTTTGACTTGAGTAGGAGAATTTCTGTATTGTTGCAGTTCACACTGGTTTGTCAGTAGGGGTCTAATCGAATGGCTAATGATCAGTTAGCGAATCAAGTCCTTAATAAAGATTGAATGAATGAATTGTATTTCCTTATGGATTCTGCATTTCATTAGGTGAGATGTTTTTTTGATTATTGAGTCATACCTACCTTTTTGTCCAACAATGTTCCAAACACCAATATGAAGAAACCCTTTATAAAGACAAACAGAGTAGCTTTAGCTAAGAGGACTTCAATTAAAAAAAGGCAAACCACTATTGAGAATATACAGAATAACTAATAACATATCATTAGCAACTACTGTATTTGTACCTGCAGTGAATTGAAGAAGGCAAATGAAATATGGATTCCTCTATTTTCTGGGTTTGTCATAGTTCCAACTCCCAGAGCCCAAGTTAATCCAAAAAATGGTGTTAGGACAGCCAAACTCCTTGCAATAACCACTAGGATATGCCTCTCAGCAGCTTGTGCAGCATCCCTCACTGCCCTTCTCCTCAACATTTTATATATCACCACAATCAGGATGAACAGGTTTATCACCACTATCGTCAGTGCAGGGATAACAAATGCCAGCAGAGCCATGGACTCGTACCAGTTGAGCCAGCAGACCCCATTTTGTCGAATGTACTCTTTGCTGGGTGCAGTTACAGCTATGGTTATGACTGCGATGATGAGCGGTGCCCCATAGCCTAGGGTGAATCCTATAGCCAACAAAGACCTTTTAGACAAACCCCCATCGAAGACACTGATTGTGCGATAGAGCAACAGCAGGGCTGAGGCAAACATCCAGAAAAACAGGGATAGGTAGAAAAAATGGATGAAAAAGGTGGCCGCAGAGCATGCTGGTGGGTTTTCCTCTTTTGGATCTGAGATGGCTGCCCCAATAATAAACCAAATGTTTGCAATCAGGAGAGAGACAGCAATGTTAACAATGGAAACATGACGCAAGTACGATGTGTTGTTCTTTCGTATTTTTCTCCATATGACAGCCTCAATGATGAGGCATATAACCAAGGAAGCCATGGATATGCCGACTCCAATGTAGGTTATAAAATCCAACACAGGGTCATCTGGACTGAAGGGTGACATAAGGATAGAGAACGAGGTCAGATGGTTGCAGTTGCATGTGATGGTTTCGTTTCCGTCGACTACCAACTCGCAGCCCTCGCCGTCCCATCCTCCGAGACCATCGAAGAGGCTGAAGTTCCAGAAAACACACTGCGGGTTCCCCAGCGTGACGTTTATAATGTCAAATGTAAAGGAAATATTATTGACGCTGCCGCTGGACTGAACAAGCACGACTCTCCCATTGATGACGTTGGAGGTTGAATTGACTTCGTCTCTGGCCGGGAGTACGTTATCCATTGAGGAAAAAGTTATCACGGTGATTGACTTATTCCCTCTGTCAGCCTCTGGTATTTCTATCTCCACTGAAGAATTAAAGTCCCCACTGAAACTGTCTGTGAATCTAGTTTTGTTCAAGAGAATGAAATCTGTCACAATGTCAAAAGACTCATTGTTGAGGTTACGTGTTATATTCTCAACAGACAGCAAAAATGATGAGCTGGCACTTTGAGCTTCAGGGATGCTTCTTGTTACTGAGCTGTTTCCAGAGAATCTGTTGTTCAGAGTGTTCCATGAATCCCTTGCCCCGTCTGTGGTGAGGATACCTGCAGTTACTAGGAGATCCTGAATTCAAAGGAAAGTAGATATTAGATCATGTGAAATGTAGTATATATACTGTATATATGGGCATTATTTAGGACGGACTGATCCACGTACCTCCATTACAGTTTCAGATATTACGATATTTAAAGATGATGTCGCATTTGCTACATTGCTGAGTATTATAACAATGGCGTTAATGTTGGCAGGAGATTCAACCACTTGCTGACTGAAGTTAGTGGTGATATTGCTGAGTTGGTCCAAGAAGGCTGGCAGTGAATTGTTATTCAAGAACTGTGAGATTTAAAAGAAAAAAGATGAGGGTAATGTTCAAATTAAAGTCACTATGTGTATTGTATGTATGTGACAAGTCACCTGAGACTGGTCAAACAGCTCCTGAATCACTTGTAGGACACAATTGTCTACTACGTCTTCCCAGTTGCCATTTTCCTTACAAACTGCTGTCTTTTCTCCCACCTCGTCTGGTTCGCAGGAAGCTACACCCTTGTCACCAACATTTCCAGCGCCAAAGCCATCATCATCTATACATCTAAATTCTAGAGAGAAAGAAGCGAGTTTTAACATCAGTATTTGTAGCTACAGGAAAAATATCTTCACCTGAATGGTACAGAGACACACTGATGACATATTTTAGTTTAGCATCACACTGCTTCTCTTGATAAAAAGCCAATTAGATTTTAACATTGGGTTTTGGATTACTGCAGAAAACAAACAAAAAGTTTATGATACCTACACGTCTTGTTCAGCACAACAATCTTTACAAATGAATGCCACTTTTATAATTTCTTAAGCTTAAATACAATCACCAGAAGTAAAAAGGTAATTTAAGCTATAAACAAACTACACCACGATCGCATCTCTTCAATGTCACCACTACTAAACTTGTACTTTGATCTAGCTGTTACCTCCTCTACAAAACCTTTCCTCTAACCTCTAAAGTTATTAACAGTCTGTTGAAGTGTGAGTACAAACACATCGAGGTGGACTGGTGAGTAGATCGGTTTTCATTTTCGCCGTGATGACATTCAACGTCCTTGACAAGCTCTGTAGACTCATTTAGCCACTTGTTAGCAACTGGCCCTTTTTTAAATGACATAAAAGCTAAAGAAATCACAACTTGGGTATTTACTGATGTATTTTATGTGGCAGAATAAAACCCATAGACTTCGGGATGAGGGAATGGGAAGTACTAAAATGCTAACTACTTTCCCAGTTTTAGGACTCATTCTTGCAGCACTCTATTGAATGCTCTGCAATGTCTGGGTTAACACTTACCATCAGTGGATAGCTCCAGTATTATTTCTTTTTTGAATTCCTTGAGTTCTACCACTTGACAAGTAAACTTCTCTTCCCTGTTTGCACAGTCTTCAGGAAGTCGAAACACGTGGTTGATCACTTTACCTGGTACTAAATATACAAAAAAACAACACTTAAATGTAGAGTATAGTAGTGGGGTATCAACATTCACTTATGAAAAGTAATACGTTATCTCAAATAGCTGTCTATGAACTGCATTTATATGTAGATGATTTTCCTAATAGCTTATTTGCTTTTTGGTGTTTGTTCAGTTTTACCTGCAGAAGCTATGTCTGGAAACTCAACAGTGTAGGGGCTGTTGACTGAGCACTCCAGTTGCACTTCCTTTCCAACCTCACACTTGACCTTGTTTCTTACCGGTCTTACTTGGATCGAGGGTATCACTTTGGAAGAGATTGATCCATTCGATTGCTGTCTGAAAACGTTTCTGTCTCTCAGACTACATTCATAAAGTCCTGAAATTAAAGGTGGACATCAGTTCAAGGTCAAATCAATGTGAGGCCAGTGTTTTACCGATATAAAAATATGTGAGGTAACAGCTCCATCCAGTGGCAAGGCAACAAAGCAACAACCCAAATCAGTGTCATGATTGTCTCCTGTTCTTTCCTTCAGACCTCCTGCCTCCGGTACAGTCACCTGACCTTCCCCACCCATCTACACACCTGTTTTCACTCTGTCAATCATCCAGCACGGACTGCCTGTCTGTTCCTGCCTATTTGGCTCCAGTTGATGTTCTCACCTGTTTTCCTGTTTACCTGCATTCTTGCCTGCACTGCGTGTTACTCTGAGGTATAACTATTAAATCACTTGATTGTTCCTGTCAGAATTCTGCATTTGTGCACAGCACCTCCATTGCAAACATGTATGATTTGAAAATGCCACCTAAGACAGAAATACAAATCACGTATTGACCACACCATTGGATCTATTTCTTACCGTTGTTAGTGAAAAAGAATTTCGACACAGTTAAAGTTGACGTTTCCGCGTCTCTTGTAAAGGTGTGTTCACTATCTGGACGTATCAACTCGCCGTCACGTGTCCACTCTGCAGTCCAGCTGTCACTAAAGCCAAGAATCGATGGAGGAGGACCACACGTCAGGGTCACACTTTCCCCAGAAAAAGGTTGAACAAAATTAAAGGTTGTCGGATCTTTAAAGAAAATGGACACAAATGTCAGACAATTATTATAAAATCATCTGTACACAACAATCAGATATTTCTGAAATGACAAAAAAACATTTTTTTTCATGTCTGTCAGAAATTTTTCAAACTGACTTACTGTCAAATATCATAGGGTATGTTCCTGCCAGGTCTGTAAATATCCCTGTATTAAAGTTAGCAATTTCATTTTCTCGAAAAGAAGTTGCTCTGATAGTGTAATCAGCGATGGTGCTTCCACTCCTGTAATACAGAATGGAATCCCAGTGAAAATCCACCACATCTATCACCATCACAAGATGGTATAATACAGTCCATTTAGAACCACACTAAACCTGCTCTGGAATTTATGGTTCGGTTTAATCAGTGTAAATAATCACAATGACAATGCTAACATGCTGATAGCAAGCAGGCGTTAATACTACATTTAAATATTAAATTTAAAAAATGAATTACCCACTTTGCAAATATATTATGTTTCAAAGGCATAAGAACAATCAAACTGTCGGTAGAAAAATATATCAAAACTAATTTAAGAATCAAATTTGACTTACCTGAAACTTACTAACTGTGATGATATTAGGCTTGAGAAGAACTTCTGACTTTGTCTTTCAATCTGTGAGATAGTGGCATGGACTGCTTGTTATTAATTCTATAATCAATTCAGGATCAGATATAACAATGTATCAATATTGTGACAAAACAAGGACAGCGTATTTAAGGCCTTTGTGGGTTAAAAAAACAAAAAAAACAAAAGGGGCAGGGGGTAAAATTCCTAGAAAATTTCTGAGATTACAGTCGTAAAATTATGAGAAAAAAAACTGGATGTTAGATTTATTAGAAAAGATTAAAGTGTCTAAATTTGTGACTTTAATCATGAAAATTTAGAGTTTTTTGTCGGAATATTACCCCCATCCCCTGGCTTCATTATAATTATTGTTGTTTTCTTTATTTCACCTAATGACACAGGCAGAGGAAACATGAAGACTTACAGCAGCACTGATGTTTTGATGAACTCCATTGCTTGGCTCATTGTACGCTACATTAAAGTCTATGTCCAGGGTATTCGAGAAGTTCCTCTCTACAACAGAACCAGTTATTATCACAAAGAAGCAATTTCATGAGATACACACAACTTCATTCTTAATATCTAATGTGTAATACCGATTATTGTTGGTGCCACTGTTGTTGTTGTCATCACTGGTGTTGTCGACGGCGACGTTGTTGTCATCTCCGTTGTTGTCATCTCCGTTGTTGTTGTCATCTCCGTTGTTGTTGTCATCTCCGTTGTTGTCGTTGTCACTGTAAATAAAATGCAAATCAACAAGACGTAGCATCAGTAAATGATCTTTGAGATCAATGCATTTTTTTTTTTCCAGCAAGTGTTTTCATCCACTGTAAGAAATTCTTGAACTTCCATGCAAAACACAGCAAAATGTTTCTCATACCAGGAGGTGGTGTTGGACATCGAGTGATATCTGTGGAGCAACATTAGAGATGAGATCATTTCACCACATTTTTCTGCCCCAAAAACATCACGCCTTCAATTCTAATTAACATCAGATCATTTTAGACATTAACTGATATTCACCAGATTAAACACAACCCTGACCGTGTTTGTGTCAACACATGTAACACAGTCTCCTCCTTGCTTATTGCATCACTTTTATTGTAACAACTCCAAAATAGCAGGTCTTACTTGTGATTGGTTCACAGAACTCTCCATCAGTAGGAAGTCCATTTATGCAGTCACAGGTTTGTGTGGTGGCGTCACTGCACGCACCGTATTTGACACACTTGTCACATGACCAAGCAAAGTTCTCCTCACACTGACACCGCAGACCTCCAGTTGAGTTTGGGTAGCATCCTTTTAAAGAAATTTAAAAAAAAAAACATCAAGTCACTGTATAAAAAACATACCCTATTGATAAAAGAGCTCCAAATCAACTGCACAAATTATGTAAAGAAACAAACAAGTTCTTACCTGTGGTGAAATTTAAGCCTGTTACATTTAAAGTCTCAGTGATGACAAAGGGGAATTGGATAGATCTCAGAAAGTGTCTAAATAGGTCAGTGAAATTTGATGGATCGCTGGAGATTGGGATGTTCAAGTCAAGGACTAAATCAATGTCCAGCAGCTCTGTGGTGAAGAACAGGAGAAAATCCATCACATAAGTCATAACATCATATCTCTGGGAGCTTTACGAAGGCAACTGGACTTGTTTGAGGTTCTTGAAGACGTGTCACCTCTCATCCGAAAAGCTATCATGTGAGTCATTAGTGACACCTAAATCAGTTTAGAATCTAAATCTGTTTAATGATGATCGTTCCATGTGCCATGTGCTTGCAAAGCGATTGTTTGATTCCCTAACGTACAGGTATGTGCTTTCTTCACTGCATTTAACTGCATACCTAACATTTCTCTGCTTATGCCTGGATGTATTTTCCTTAGTGTCGACAAGCTTCTGCCTTAGTGTGTTATTGGGCTTGAAGTGCACAGGGATTTGGTGCTTGCTAAAGATCCTCCAGAGTTTCTCAGATACTCATAAGGAATGACAATGTTTTTCTGTTTATTGTTCTTTTCTTCTCTGTCTGTTCTATGTCTTTTTGTGGTTTTGATGAAGGCCCAGTCTGGGTAACCGCAGTTTCTAAGTACTTCCCTGATGTTTTTGTCTCCTCTCCTTCCTCTCTGTCCTTGTGGGCCCCTGTCCTAGATTTCTGATGTTCTCCAGCTTGTGTCAGGCAGAGGTTAAGCAGGGCACCTATTACCACTAGGATAACTGCCTTCCTGTTGTATACCTCTGCCAAACAGCTAAGTTACAGGAAATATGGTCACAATCTTCCCTTCCTGAGTTACAGCATTTACTAATACCCGGAAGTTTTTGCAGAACACTGCGATGTCACAGTAAATTTGACCATTGATCATTTGGATATAAAATGTCATGACTTCATCATTTTAACCTGTTAGACATTTGTTTTTAATTGTGTCATAATTAGCATGCGAATTCCTGAGTTATGGCTAAAATTGTGTTTTGTGAGGTCACAGTGATCTTTAACCTTTCAGCATCAAAATCTAATTAGTTCTTCTTTGAGTTCAAGTGAATGTTTGTACCAAATGTGAAGAAATTCCCTCAATGTGTCCTTGAGATATTACATTCAAGAGGCCGATAATGAGTTTTGTGAGTTCACAGTGAATTTAACCTTTGACCTTTGCCCAACAAAATTTGACCATCCTTGAGTGCAAGTGAATGTTTGAGCAAAACCCTCAAAGTCTTACTGAGATGTCGTATTTACCAGAATGGGACGGACGCATGTACGTACATATGGATGGACAACCTGAGAACACAATGCATTGAGCCCTGGCACGGAGGCATAACGAGGTGTTAATGACCCAACAAGAAGTTAAAAGACTGGAACTGGCCACTAACCAGCGAGAACTTAAGAAGCCTTTCGGATTACAGGTGAAAAGTCTTCAAGAACCTCAAGCGGGTCCAGTTGCCTTCATAAAGCTCTTAGAGATACTGTGACCTGGATGACTGAGAATCTTCACACTCATCTATCACCATCATAGAGAACAATATACACAACATTTTTCACTACTGTATGTGCAGTCATCATGACATGAATCACATGTATCAAAGTTTTTTGCCGATGTTTAGTGTCTGTCAAATTTGTTAGCTAACTTTTCTTAATAATATTTTCTACTAGCAACATAGCATCCATTAAACTTCATCCATGCAAAACAAAACAAAATGTTTCTCGTACCAAGAGTTGGGGTTGGACATGGAGGGATATCTGTGGAGCAACATTAGAGATTAAATAATTTTCCTGCCCCAAAAACATCACACCATCAATTATGATTAACATCAGATCATTTTTTAAATTAATTGAGAATCAGATAATTAAACACAATCCTAACCATGTTTATGTCAACACATGTAGCACAGTTGATAGCATCACTTTTATTGTAACAACTCTAAAAATAGTAGGTCTTACTTGTGATTGGTTCACAGATCTGTCCATCAATAGGAAGTCCATTTATGCAGTCACAGGTTTGTGTGGTGGCGTTACTGCACGCACCGTATATGACACACTTGTCACATGACCAAGCAAAGTTCTCCTCACACTGACACTGCAGACCTCCAGCTGAGTTTGGGTAGCATCCTTTTAAAGAAATTAAAAAAAACAAAACATCAAGTCACTGTATAAAAAACATACCCTATTGATAAAAGAGCTCCAAATCAACTGCACAAATTATGTACAGAAATAAGCAAGTTCTTACCTGTGGTGAAATTTACACCTGTTACATTTAAAGTCTCAGAGATGGCAAGGGGGAATTGGATAGATCTCAGAAAGTCCCTCACTACGTCAGTGAAATTTGATGGATCGCTGGAGATTGGGATGTTCAAGTCAAGGACTAAATCAATGTCCAGCAGCTCTGTGGTGAAGAACAGGAGAAAATCCATCACACAAGTATATCAACATCAAACAGGACAATATACAGGAGACTGAGGATGTTTGCAAAACTTGCCTTTCTCTCAGTTACTCAGAGACTATTTGGACTAGACCAACCAAACTTTTTTATATTAAACTTAGATATATCTGCCAAATACCCAAACCATTTAAAGATGATTGCTTATGACATATCATTCACAGTATTTATTTGAATGCAAGAATTCAGATGAGTGATGGTTGCAACATTTAAAAAAAATACATGAAATTTTTACGAACTAACTTTTTCTTTTTGTCTTAATAAGCATTGTATTCTGAAAATATGCACTTCTTTACATTAATATTATAGTGTTATTTATTTATTTAGTAATATTTATGAAAGAACGCTTATTGAGTGTTGTTTTGTGTAGAACATAGAACCTACCTTGAGTCAAAATAGGCACAATTTATTTATCTTATTGCTCTTGATAAATACAACAGACAAATATATTATAAGACCATGAGAGGCTGACAAAATAATTCCCAAAATAACTTGTTTGTTTTCTCTTATGTGTTAAAATGAGCAATTATTGTTGCATCTGTTGTGCTATGGGACAAAATTAGCTGCACATATATTTTGCCTATTTTGAACTAATACTGTTGAAAAACACTGTTGTGTGGTCTGTCTTGATTTGGCTGCTTAGCTTGGGGACAGTTAAAATAACTTGTTGCAACCTTCCCCATCCTATCAGAACTTTATGTGCTATGTAGACACACGGACCCTGACACATGCTAAGCATGTGACTCAGAAGTCAACAACACAATGATTCAAACTATTAATTCAAACTGATCAAAATGTTTCTCGTACCAAGAGTTGGGGGTGGACATCGAGTGATACCTGCGGAGCAACAATAGAGATGAAATCATTTCACCACATTTTTCCGCTCCAAAAACATCACACCATCAATTTTAATTAACATCAGATCACTTTAGAAATGAACTGATATTCACCAGATATTTAAACACAATCCTAACCATGTTTATGTCAACACATGTAGCACAGTCAGAAAGACACAGTAGATATTATCACCTTTTTCTTGATAGCATCACTTTTATTGTAACAACTCCAAAATAGCAGGTCTTACTTGTGATTGGTTCACAGATCTGTCCATCAATAGGAAGTCCATTTATGCAGTCACAGGTTTGTGTGGTGGCGTCACTGCACGCACCGTATATGACACACTTGTCACATGACCAAGCAAAGTTCTCCTCACACTGACACTGCAGACCTCCAGCTGAGTTTGGGTAGCATCCTTTTAAAGAAATTAAAAAAAACAAAACATCAAGTCACTGTATAAAAAACATACCCTATTGATAAAAGAGCTCCAAATCAACTGCACAAATTATGTACAGAAATATGCAAGTTCTTACCTGTGGTGAAATTTACACCTGTTACATTTAAAGTCTCAGAGATGGCAAGGGGGAATTGGATAGATCTCAGAAAGTCCCTCAGTACGTCAGTGAAATTTGATGGATCGCTGGAGATTGGGATGTTCAAGTCAAGGACTAAATCAATGTCCAGCAGCTCTGTGGTGAAGAACAGGAGAAAATCCATCACACAAGTATATCAACATCAAACAGGACAATATACAGGAGACTGAGGATGTTTGCAAAACTTGCCTTTCTCTCAGTTACTCAGAGACTATTTGGACTAGACCAACCAAACTTTTTTATATTAAACTTAGATATATCTGCCAAATACCCAAACCATTTAAAGATGATTGCTTATGACATATCATTCACAGTATTTATTTGAATGTAAGAATTCAGATGTTGCAACTGTCCCCAGGTTTGGGGTCAGTTGCAACACAGATGAGTGATGGTTGCAACATATTAAAAATACATGAAATTTTTACGAATTAACTTTTTCTTTTTGTCTTAATAAGCATTGTATTCTGAAAATATGCACTTCTTTACATTAATATTATAGTGTTATTTATTTATTTAGTAATATTTATGAAAGAACACTTATTGAGTGTTGTTTTGTATGGAACATAGAACCTACCTTGAGTCAAAATAGGCACAATTTATTTATCTTATTGCTCTTGATAAATACAACAGACAAATATATTATAAGACCATGAGAGGCTGACAAAATAATTCCCAAAATAACTTGTTTGTTTTCTCTTATGTGTTAAAATGAGCAATTATTGTTGCATCTGTTGTGCTATGGGACAAAATTAGCTGCACATATATTTTGCCTATTTTGAACTAATACTGTTGAAAAACACTGTTGTGTGGTCTGTCTTGATTTGGCTGCTTAGCTTGGGGACAGTTAAAATAACTTGTTGCAACCTTCCCCATCCTATCAGAACTTTATGTGCTATGTAGACACACGGACCCTGACACATGCTAAGCATGTGACTCAGAAGTCAACAACACAATGATTCAAACTATTAATTCAAACTGATCAAAATGTTTCTCGTACCAAGAGTCGGGGGTGGACATCGAGTGATACCTGCGGAGCAACAATAGAGATGAAATCATTTCACCACATTTTTCCGCTCCAAAAACATCACGCCTTCAATTCTAATTAACATCAGATCACTTTAGAAATGAACTGATATTCACCAGATAATTAAACACAATCCTAACCATGTTTATATCAACACATGCAGCACAGTTGATAGCATCACTTTTATTGTAACAACTCCAAAATAGCAGGTCTTACTTGTGATTGGTTCACAGAACTCTCCATCAGTAGGAAGTCCATTTATGCAGTCACAGGTTTGTGTGGTGGCGTCACTGCACGCACCGTATATGACACACTTGTCACATGACCAAGCAAAGTTCTCCTCACACTGACACTGCAGACCTCCAGCTGAGTTTGGGTAGCATCCTTTTAAAGAAATTAAAAAAAAAAAAAAAACATCAAGTCACTGTATAAAAAACATACCCTATTGACAAAAGAGCTCCAAATCAGCTGCACAAATTATGTAAAGAAACAAACAAGTTCTTACCTGTGGTGAAATTTACACCTGTTACATTTAAAGTCTCAGAGATGGCAAGGGGGAATTGGATAGATCTCAGAATGTCCCTCAGTAGGTCAGTGAAATTTGATGGATTGCTGGAGACTGGGATGTTCAAGTCAAGGACTAAATCAATGTCCAGCAGCTCTGTGGTGAAGAACAGAAGAAAATCCATCACAAGTATGTCAACATCAAACAGGACACTTTTCACTGCTGACCTGAATCACATTGATCCAAGTGTTACCCATGAGCAGTGTCTGATAAACTTTTTATGTAACTTTTGTTATGCTTGAATTGAGAGTATACACGGTTTCTATTGTGTGTAAACATATGTATTTCAAAATCACTTAAATAGCTGTATTGCTACAACAGATACTCTAAGAGTTATGCAAGTTTTCATTGATTGTACAGTATCAGTCTTTTGAAACACACACACAGATTGTCATCTTTTACATTTTATGTCTCATACCATTTGGTGGTACAGGTGATTGTATTAAAAATAAAATAAAAAATCACAAAATAAATGTCACATTTGTATTTTTTTTCATAACAAATAAAGAACGTGTTGCGCTTTATCCATGCAAAACAAAATAAAATCTTTCACATACCAAGAGATGGCTCTGATAACATGAAACGGGAACAGTTGTGATCTTTTCCATAAACAATTTTCAATATGTGCAGTCATCATCACATAACTTTACATACATGTTGATCTACTATGTAAACTTTCACTTTGATGAAAGTACTTTATTCATTCAAAGCACAGCAAGAGGTGTTCAGGACATCTCTTCGATCAAAAATGTGGTATGCACTAAACAAGGAAACCCAGTAGACAGCCGGTGTCTGCATGTGACAGATTATTTTCTTCAAGTATGTACTGAAGCCAGCTATCTGATTAAAATTCACTGAGCTAATGCAAAAGAAAATGAGGAAGCATTTTCGTTCTGTTACAAGTGGTTCCTTGTTTCGCAGGAAAGTTACGACTAGAGAGAGCTCCAGAGAGAAGCTTGAGAGAGGAGATGTAAAACTACACTGAAATGGTTTTTGGCTTTTAAAACCACAAATATAGTATCTTCTGATGGGGCCTTTAAAAACAGTCTTACATTCAAAATCTTATGCATGTCAGGTAAGATATATTCAACTCTGGTAAAAACAGTGGGGCAACAACGAAGAAAGGGTAGTACCTGTTGTGGCTTCAATGCTGGTAATGTGAACAGTGTTGTTGATCCGTATAGGAAAAGAGAGTGTGCTCAAAATAGTCCTGAGAAGGTCCACATCAGAGATGTTTATTACAGCTTCGACTACATAGTCAGAGGAATTTAAGGCAGCTGGGACGACATGAAACAGACATACACACACACACGCTCAGTGTCAATAGTCAGTATTGTTTGCTTTAATGAGCACAAAGACATGTCAATAGTTGACAGTAGGGACAGACAGTAGTAGATACTCACCCTCTCTTTTTTCTCTGGCATGAATGTGTGATGCTTTTGTACCCATCAAGTCCTGTAAACATCCATTTCCATCCAATTAGTTCAGCCTTTACAGTTTGTCCACACAGACCAAAAACTGTAATTAAAACTAATTATAAACTATAAAAACACTATTGATCAATTATACTTACACTATACAATTTCAGATTAAGATTGTACATTAAAACACGTATGATAATCTTATAATGTTTTAAGATTAAACTAGTTACTCCAAAACTTTGTGGCTTGTGACGTCTTACAAAAAAGCAGCTGGGGAATCTTGTTACATGCATCAGTGAATGAGTGACTATGAGTTGTTAGCAGTTCCACCAAAGACACATTTCCTGTCGAAATGTTTACAACTGTTCAAGGCTCAAATGATTCAATACTTCACAAAAAGCAAAGATTTTGGAAAAAATAAACACAATTAAGTAAATAAATTAACTTGTGAGATTTATCTTGTGACGCTTTGGATAAGCCAAGCACCCACTGGACTACAACTAGCTCCACCTCAATCAGTTGTAACAGTAAATTTGTACTGATGCCTTGATGCATCAAGATTAATAATTTGATAATGGTCCACTGGGCAATTTTTATGCAGAACAATTACTTTAACTTTTGATGCTTTGGAATGTTTTTACATTGTGGTACTGGTGATTTTACTAGCAGATTACAGGTAAAACCCTCAGAGAAGTCAATTACTGCAAGGTTGGATGGTGGGTCCAGGTGGGCCGGGCTTGGGGCATGGCTGAGGACTGTGACTGTATAGTTGTGACATCATGAAGTTACAGAAGTCCTGATGGCTCGTTGTAAGGCTCAGTTTCTGAATACAGGCTGTGTGCATTTCTGTGTGGACTAAGCGCTTTGATACTTTCACAGTATTAATATAGAACCTAGACCTGCTTTATAATCAAAGAAAACATGGAAATCTACCTCTATACAAAAAAGGGCCTTTAAGTAAGGGATCTGAATACTTCCTGTTCATACTATAATACATTTTTTTGTTTAGTGATGTAGACAACTTAGACTCGTTGCAGTATCTCATGGAAAACAGCTACAATGTTGAGTGTTACTACTTAATTCTTATTAATAATAATAATAATAATAATAATTATTATTATTCTTACCTCTAAAAACACATTCAGAGACTGTCTGTATCCCTGATTCTCCAGACTGTAGAATATAGCCAGAAGAAAAATGATGTATCCTACTGCCTTTGGTAATGCCATCCCAACTAGAGAGAAAACACAGTCAACACAATGATTTCTCATTATTAAGTCAACCTGAAGAAATGTATACATTTATCTCTTGTGAATATAAACTGTGTTAAAGCTTGATGGTAGCACAGTAGCTCAAAACTACAAGGTGTTTTGTAAGGTTGTACTGGTACACAAGTTTTGTGAGAAATACTACCAGGAAGCTAACATTTCAAAAGTAGCGTCCCTGTTTACTGGTATGAATACTTGCGGTTGTTAGACATGTTTGTGTGCATGCTGTGAATGATTATTGTTCAGCATGTAAACATATTATCAAAAGCTAGGAATGTTTTAATACCAAGCGCCAATGCTGATTAAATGTCACGTTGAAAAACTGGATTTTGTTACCTCTAGACAAAGCCAGGCTAGCTGTTTCTCACAGTCCTTACGCTAAGCTAAACTAAACTAACCGTCTCCTGGCTCCATCTTCACAGTTAGCATACAGACATTACTCTTGGCAAGTAAGAGTTGACTTAACTGTAAGTATTTGGGACAATCTTTCTGTCTCCCTCTCTTTCTGTGTGTGTCAACATAACACTCAGGCCAAGACAACAGCAGCCACAGTAAAGCTTGCAGTATGTAAGCAAACATGCAGACATTACTAGCCAAAAATGTATGTTTTACAGAATATATGTCACCTTGACTGAATTGTATATAACTGTCAAAATGTTCCATGTTAGGGTTTTTTTTATTCAAAGTAGCATATGAATCTCTTCCTTATCAAGAAATGTTTTGACAGTGTTTCAGTCACATCACAAAACTGGTTCAGTCATGCTTCCTTTTACCTCTTGATACTGAGATAATTATCCATGCCTTCATTACTTCCTGGTTTGACTGTTACACAATATCTCTCTCTCTTTTAATTTCTCATAATATCAGTCACAAATGAGTAAGCTATGTATATGGAAGCTAATTGATGAGACATTAATATGATGGCTGACTGCTTTTTGTTTGATTAGCTTAGAGACTAACCACAAGTCTGATTTTTTTTCCAGGTTTGAAATTTTCCAAGAATGAAACAAACTACTAAAATGATAAATCTCAAACTACAGTAGCTACTGTCTAGTTGAAATTATTTGTTTTGTTGCGCTCTTGTAGCTGATTTTGGTTATAGGCAGTATCATTTTATTCCATGTGTCTAGCCTGGGTCCAATATGCGTCCAAATTTTATTGCATCATTGATCTATGACATTTAAATCACAGGCACATAGTCAGTATAGCCACAAAGCTTGTGTGTACAGTATAATTTATTTGATGTAGTCAAGGGTTCAGTAGAGGTGATTGCTTGAAGAGAGCTAGATAGATGTTTCTAATTTTTCTGAATATGCATCATCATTTGGAGTGTAATTTGGTTTTCATTCATTATTAGACTACTGTACAAGTGTGTGGCAAACATCATACGTACCATAATAAATAAGAATAAAAAAGGAAAAAGAGAATAAAAGGAAATTGGAAACATAACATGAGGAAAGTGGCATTTCAGTCAAGTAGTATATTATTATTACATGTTAGGTTGGAAGAGGTAGAGAATGACAGTGACAGAGACTTTCAGATTAACTGTACAAATCAAATATTGGATCATTTTGTGCATTCGAGTGTACCACTTGTAAGTTGCTTTGGATAAAAATGTCTGCCAAATGAGCAAATATAAATGTGTGTATGTGTGTGTGTGTCAATTTGGTTTTATTCATATTCTAAGAAACTTCAAAGGAACATATAGTTTTTCCTTCAGGTTCTTAAGATATGTGAAGTTGCTGTAGGAGGCACTTATTAATCAACTATTTTGAAAAGAGTTATGAAAATTATGAGAAAAGATCCCATTATTACACAATACCCATAATAACATGAAAGCCTGAGGGGAAAACTGACAAAAAACTGTCATCGATTGGGTCAAGTTCAAGCTCATAGTTTTCTGTGTTTAATTTGCACACTCAGTTGGGTGGAGGCAGCACTCATTGTATTAAGTGTATTGGCATAGAACAAAGGAAACAAAAGAGGATACTCCGCAGGCAGACTGAAAGGGGAGTTATGATGAGCAGTAAGACACGCACAAACATACCTGCTATTATAGCACTACCTGATTAATGCCCTGATGCCAAACCAGACCATTTTCTTACTGTAAATTCTACCTTGGCATGTGAGAAATAAAACTTTGAACCACTGTGCAATAATATAAAAAAACAAAAAAAACAAAAACTGAAACATAAAATCCAATAACATAATGTTATATAATAAAAATCGCATATCGGAATGTGGACATTACATTTTGGATGTCGCCCAAGCCTGTATGGAAAATTAAGTATAAAAAGCCTATACTATGCAGCTTACATTATAATATCATGTTTTAAAATCTGCTTTAGAAACCTACTTGTAAGGTTTGCACGTTTTGTTCTAACCTGATTTACTCCTTTAGTTTAAATTATATTCTGTTTACTTGCCTTTTTTCATGTGTTCTATGTTTCCTTTATATTCTATAACTATTTTATTACTTTTGTTCCTGTATGTATCTACTTATCAGCATCCTAACAAGTTCTCCATACTAAACAACCATTTAGGTTGATTGTCCTTACCCTTAGGAGCATACCTGCAGCAGGCTTACCAGACCATCATCGCCATAGTAACAATAATGAAGAGTTAACAGTTAAGGTTATGGAACAATTTGTTTAGGTTCACGCACCAAAATTACATAGTCAGGTTTAGGAAAAGATTGTGGTTTGAATTAAAATAAATACTTCTTTAATGTTAGAGTATGTTTGTCGTCATGGTTACAATATTAAACACGCAGTTAAGGATCATGGATTAGTTCCACACGACGTCCAACTGTGGTTTCATGTGCTCTCAAGTCCTGTGTTTTGTCAGTGAACCTCCCCTAACATGTCGTTCTATATACTGCCTTACCTGACCTTCTCCTTTGCTCCCATCATAACTACTACGGCAGCTACAGGTCACCTATTATTACATATGCCGGTGTCAGTGTCTGAATTCATTACACACAAACAAATATATATATATATATATATATATATGTATATACATATTCCTTTTATGAACAGCTTCATGCAAGTACGGTGTGCTTATGCTCTCACGAATGAATAATTTAGTTGGTGATTTTCCTGGGCTCCATTGTCAAGAAGAAAATAATCCAAACTATTCACCTCTATTTGAAAAAGCCCTTTCTTTAAGACAGTTCTAACTTGAAGACCAAAGCCAACTCCTGATTCAACTCCACTAAACTGAATCGAGTCAACACAGCAAAAAGAAGTGAAAGTCTTGTTTTCCCATCACTGAAGAGATACTTACAGACTAAAACTGTTAGGATTATTGTGAAGAATGAAGTTTATTTAAAGGCTGAATTCTACTCACAATGCAAGCATCTGTAGTATTTATGAAGAAAATATTAAAATCAATTAAATTCAATTCCAGTTATTACTGTTAGCTCCCAAATGCTTTCATCTGATCAGTGAAATACATGTCAAGACTGTCTGAGCTACGGCAAAACGTTAGCAATCTCTGTAATACGCAGCATACCACACTACAGTTTGCCTAAAGGTATAACGAGTAATAACCCCCTATATAAGATTAGAGTGAAATGTGAAAATGCTAATTCTTAGTATGGTATTTACCTCTCATTGTCTTCTGGCTTCAAAAATGGCTCTTACCAGGAGGCACAATCATGTTACTGTGTGTCTCCAGATACAGACAAATTATTAAACATGCAAGAAAACACATCGACTTCCTGGAATACTTTGTAACTCTGAGTCACACACCTGTCTGGCAAGTCAAGTGACCTGATGCTTGGCAGAAAGTGTAGATATGTAGGGCAGTGTGAGTGTGATGATTTTCACTGTCTATACAGATTTTCATCTGAAAGGTGGCTGACAGGCAGGAGGGCATTTCAAATGTTTAAATCCTGTTCTTGTATTCATGCTGTGCTGCTCATGATTATGTAAAAAAAATAAATAGCACGTAATGCTGTGTGCTTTATTTATTTGTGTTATATACTCCCATAAACAAACTTGACACATGGTCTCCAAGTTTTATGTAGAAATGTATTTTAATGTTATAAACTCTAAGACAATTATATTTAGATCAATAAGAATTATAAAGATAATGATATATGCTGCTCTGTCTTGTTTGTCTTGTTCCTGTTTTTTTATGCTGAGCCCAAAAAGAGTCCAACAAGTAATAGCTGCTGCTCGAGGCATGGCAGTTTAATAAAGCCCTTAGAAAGCTGCCAAATCATAATAAGGAATTAGTCACAAACAATCTAGGGCTGTGTCATCGTATTACATTGAATTCTACATAAAAGGTCGAAGCAGACAGAAAGCTTTAATGTTTGCACTGAGCCAAGTTATGAAACAAAACACAAAGACACTCTCCTATTCATGCAACAGCTTTAAAGAGGAGCTTGGGATTTTCTCAGCACCTGAGCAGTGAGCATCAGTCAGCCACAGCTGTGACTTATGAATCCAAAAAAAAGGGACCTGTGTTTGTTGTGGCCTGTACAAAAGGTAGATTGACAGGTGAAGAGACAGAGGCCAGAATGAGACAGGAATGGTGGCAGTAGGGACAGTGTTTCCTTGACACCAAGATTACACAGGATTGAACAACTACAGCTCCCAGGAGGTTTTCACACCACATCTATTCCCAAGACATAATCAGAATTTACACTATTTATGCAACAGCTTTGAAGAGGAGCCTGGGATTTGTACAAAGACAAAGACACACCACATGGTGCTAAATGTCATTTAGCTTGTAATTACCTCAATCAAGCTTACAATTGAGGTAATGTTTTCACTCGTGCCTTTTTTTTTTTGGTTTGTTTGTTTGTTTCTCAGCAGGATAACACAAAGAGTAGGAGCAAGGGCCAGAGAAGAACCCATAAAATTTTGATGCCAATCCAGTTAAATGGGCGGATCCAGGAATTTTTAATCACTTTATTGAATATTGTGAGATAGGACATTTTTTGACATTTTAATAAATTTATCAGGGGATAATGTTTGGAACTTGATGTAAAAAAAATCCAACATATTTATGGTGTTGAGATCTGACTTTGTACAAATCCAGATAATAATCTGGAGGAAGAAAATACTGAATCTGCATCACATACAGAGTGTACTCTGTACAATGACAGAATTCAGACATCACAGTTTTGATGTCAGCATTGTACATACATATAGCTGTGGAGTATAAAGATAAAAGACAATGAATAAATAAAGCTATGCTTGAGAACAAAACACAAGAGGTATGTGCTCTTCTAGAAATCAACAACATTCGTTATTTGTTTCCTTTGCTACCAGACATGTCACATTTTGATCTGTCTGTACACATGATATTGCTTAAAAGATTGAGACTAAAGCTGCTTGTTCCAGGCAGAAAGTCCAAAAGTGTTCACATCAGCTGATGATCCATGTGGAAAAATGGAAGCAAAAAAGAAGCCATGTTCTAGTGTTCTTGTCTTGTGCAATAATGTAGTATTGTGCATATCATAAGAAAATAATTAAGATAAGGCAGCTGTTTCATTCTAGCATAACCCTGTTTGACTGCATAGTTTACATACCTGTCACTTGTTTGCATACTTTACTTTTTCTTTCACTTCTAATGTTACAACAGGAGAGGCCTTCAGGATGAGGACTGACTACAAACATAAAGCTATCTCAGTGAATGTTGGCTGGTTTTTCTATAGTGCAAACTGCAAATCCAATAAAGAGCAAGTCAGAGCTGCTGACATTACCCTACACTCTGATCACTGTATGAATGGACAGTCAAAGTTTGAATGAGGGGGTTTGCAAATGGTTAATTCACTTCCAACTCCACATTCACTTCCAACTCCACATTTAATAAGTGCATTTCGATCCATGTGCTTTTATGCTCTTTTGCAACTTTAACCTGAACAATCCTGAGTGCAAAAGTTTTTATGCTTAGCATAGGTGGAAAAATTGTAAGCAAATGCAATAAAGTGCAATGGAAACAGACTTAGTAAAAAAAAAAAATCACAAAGCACGTGACAAGGTGTAGAAACATCTAAGAGATGATCAAGAGAAATGGGAGGCACCTAAATCTCATGTGTCAAAGCAAAGGGTCTGGATACCATATCAATGTGATATTTCAGTTTTTCATTTTTAATAAATTTGCAAAAAATGTCAAAAATTTGTGAGAAAAAAGTGAATTTAAATGATTTTAGTATAAGGCTGCAACATAATAAAATGTGAAACAACTGTAGGGGTCTGAGTACTTTGTGAATGCACTGTATGTTGGTTTCTTTGAACCATGAAGGTAATGTCTCCCTAACCTTCACCAAGCAGTTTCACTTTCTTAAACTTCACCAGACGTGAACTGGGACTGACTGGGTCACATGGGGCAACTTCACTGTCCTTCAAAGATTAAAACTTTCAGACGTGTTGTTCTTCTGGACGCATCCAAATAGTTTACGATTTCCTGCTGATGGAAAACACCAGTGATATGATATTTGGATTTCCAATGATTAGTGATTAGTTACTACACAACACTTTATCATTATACTAATCTCTCTCTTTTTTTTTGAGTTTTCAGTAATCATATGAATATGGTGACTATAGGTCTTAACCTAGCAAGTCAAGGCCTATCATCCCACCCTATGAACATATACTACTGCACATATTCTATGCACATATTCACAGCACAGTATGCTAAATTCATATTCAAAATATGAACAATATATACATATTTTTCCTATATGTAACAAAAGCATTATGGACACTATATAGGAGGAGTCTCCAATAGGTGACTCACGAGCTACCAGTAGCTCACGCGAAAGTTCAGATAATATAGTCTGTACAAACCATGGATGCATAGTACAGACTTTAAGCAACAAAACTTAAATATACACTCCCCTCTCTCTCTTCAACACCAAATCATTATTTGTTAGCTGTCAGTCAAATGAATTACTATCAAGTTTGTTTACATCAGATATGTCGTAGGTGACATTCAGTGATAGCAACTCTTCTGATAACAGAACAGATATAAACCGAACTTTTCCAACAAACAGGAAATATGTTGCCATGGATACTTTGAGTTAAGCTGCAGGCTTCAACTTGAGCCCCATTTTTTTCTGTCCATGTTTGTTTTACATTATGGAAAATGAAGTGTACTGAATTAACTATTTTAAATTCGCTGATGAACTGACAACCATCACTGGATCACTGACTGAGGAGATTTTTTTCTCTCTCTGATTTCTAATCAGATTTATGAAGGTTTATTTGCAGTGGTGTTATCATGTGTGTGTTTTCAGGTTCTGACTGAATCATGACTCAGATTTTTGTCCGATGTCATCTTCAGATGTTTTTGGTGCAAAATGTGAGTTTTGGATGTTGATATTTGATGACTTGTCAAATTATCTTATTCATATGATTTGTTTTTGAGGTCAGTTTGAGTGTTTTGATATGATATGTGAATAAATGTAGCCAGTAATTTAAGACATGAGGAGCTCTCAGCCCCATTTATTTTGTCAAAGAAGCTCTCATAGTAAAAAAAAAAAGGCTGGAGACCCCTGCTTTATACGCTCTAAAGCTGAGCCAGGGTTACCTTTTTCACCAGTTGACCCTCTGAGTCAGGACTACCCATTGTCAGTAAAGGATGATGATGCTTCGAGTGTGACATGATTTTAATTAAAGGTTATTTTTCTGTATTTAGTGCTCTAACATGAATTATCACGTACATGAGAGTCAAATGGCTTATGTGTACAGTCATAGTCACATAACACCATGTTGCAAATGGAAGCAATCCATGTAGACTGAATCATAATTTTTTACTTTTTTAAGACTTGAGGCTTGATAGTCAGTGTAAAAGCAGGATGTATTCCCTGGACTATATGGATGACTTTTCTCAGTTTTCTTTTCTGTTCTTTGTTTCTCACTAAATTGGACTCTGTGGGTGTATTATGTCATTATTCACATCATTAAGTGGCCATTAATCTGTTTTGTTTTGTTAACGCTAGAAAACAATATGGCCCCAGGTTGAAGAGGTGAGATGATGCAGGCAGGAAGATTATGTGTGTGCCTGAAAGTGTGTGTGTGTGTGTGTGTGTGTGTGTGTGTGTGTGTGTGTGTGTGTGTGTGTGTGTGTGTGTGTGTGTGAAACAGTGGCTCAGGGACTAATAGCTGCACCATACATTCACACCTCTAATTGAAGGCTGTTGCATCACATCATCTAACTAGAGACATCATTATCAGTGTTTCCACCAGTGCATGCAATGTCCAGCTGGGTGAAAATAGTAGCCAGCTGGGGCCTTTTTTGTTGTTTTGGATGGGAAGATGAGAGGGGGGGGGGTCTATCACATAGACATAAGGTTTAAAGTAGAGGGTCAACTTGGCCTACTGTGGTATAAAAATAAAAATACAATAAAAAGGAAAATAAAAAATTCTTTAAAAAGTATAGTAGTAGTACTAGCATACTGTGCTTGTCACTGTGGACAGACAGAGCAGATTAAAATATCTGGTTCTACATGTTTACATTTATGCAGGTTGAACAGGTGTATTGATAAAGTTTTGGCTTTTTACTTATGAAGGTTTTATTGCACTTACTTACAGTAACTACAAGTGTAGTTCACATCAACTCGGGTAATCTTCAGGTTATTTGTTTCACGTCACCACTCTGCCGCGATGCCCCTTGTGCGTGCGCACATGTCCAGTGCTGACGCACGCACGCACGCACGCACGCACGCACACACACACACACACACACACACAGCAGGGGCAGAGAGATTCTGCAAACTAGATACAGAGTTGGGAAGGAGATCTTCTCCTCTCAAAAACCTGAATAAAAGAACCCAACAGCTCGGTTTCATCTTAAAAATCTGCGTTTCCCCGACAGACACAGGATGTCAGGAGGGAAAGAGTAGCTGGCTGGAAATGCTTTAATGTCCGGCCATTCGGCTGCCGGCCGGCACTTAGGAAAAACCCTGCGTTATGAAAACCATAGTGAGCATTTGGATCAATGTCCATTAACTTTTGTTTATAAAAAATGTTAACACACCATGAAACTACAACTGATACAGATTCAAAGGGAAAACATTACATTTCATTAGTGATAAAGGCAGATAAGGGAAACAAACTGTAACTCAATAAAATGCAGATAGTTACAATCCTGTTCAGCAAAGTCATGTTAAGACGGAACTTACTTTGCCGACCTTAACTTCTCATGTGGAAACTTTGACCCACTTTGATGATGATCCTTTTGTTCACAGTCACTGAATAACTATGTACTTCCCTCATTTTTCTTGAGCTAGCTATATCATCGAACACACATCAGTCACGTCAATAAGTGATCATATCACCGTTCATAATGCTACAGCACTCACTGTCTTTAGTTTAGTAGTAAAGTCTAAGGCTGGTTCAAACTGATATAGTTAATTACAAAACTAGGTTTGTACCAGGACTGTTTTAAGTTAAAGACCCCCACTGATGAAAATCAAGTTTTCAATCTTGTTAACATCCATATGATGTTTTGGCTGCATATTTCCACCTTGGAACTGCAGTGAACCAATGACTCGATTGTCTTGAAAAACAGCTTCAGACAGCCACGGATTCATACGTCATAACTATGGAACCAATCCTGTCAACTTGCAGGGACAGGTAGCGGGGCTAAAAGTTAACAAAGAGTATAAAAATTATGCTAACTACCGTAACTGTTCTGATACGTCTGGTAGTCGCTGATTTGGTAACAGACTCAGTGTGGGTCTGACTGAGGCTCAAACATGTGGCTGAGTCTCTGATGTTTGTCGTGATAATGCATCTCTTAACAAAGAGGCAAAAAAGTGGAGGCAGCGTTGTAGGCGGTGGTCTGCGAGGCGCTTAAATACATTGCGACATGTTAAAAAAAATTCTGCAATATTCAAAATTTAAAATTCCTTCGTTTGGTCCAATGGTAGGGTCTCAGTAGAACTATTGCCTAAACTGCCCCTACGATTTCCGGTGGTAGTGCTCTGTTTCATCAGTATCCGTAAGGTTTCAGAAAACCCACACAAATACGAGCAAAATTATTACAAAGTACGGACAGAAAGGCTCTGACCACATCTGTGTCTAACATTGATCATAAATGAGCCTTCAGTCTGCTATGATTAATTAGCCATGGTTCCACAGATTTACCAAACCATTACAAAGCCAAAACCAGGTTACAACAATGCTTGTAAACGCATCGTCTGATTACCCACATAACCAGGTTTCTCAGGTAGGATACATCATCTGGAAACCATTAATTTTTGCACTAAATTTTGTGCCAATCCCTCAAGTATATGTTGTGTTGATATATTTCATTGGGTAAGTGAAAACTTTGACTTGCCGGTGGCTGCATGTGACGTCAGAGCATCACCTAAGTCATTAGGATTAATCCTCTTTAGACCACTATTCTGAGGTAAATGAACATATGGAATTGTATTTAGTCATCCTGAAAAAAACATAAAAAGCAACACATACAAACATACAACACGCGCACACACACACACACACACACACACACACACACACACTGTGTCATTAACAATCTTTGCTTGTTTGTTTGTTGTATAATCAGTTGGCCATTTCTGATTGGGCAACACTTATGGCAATGCAAAAGAGGTTGATAAATATTAAGGCCCTTCATAGCAGCACATATGACAACAAACAGCCATCACTGCCGATGCATTGAGGATCTACCAGGATTATTAGGTATGATACGAGAACTTCATGAAGAACTGATGTTTTTCTAGGAAAACTAAAATTGTTCATACTGTACATGGTTTCTGATGGAAATAATAATTCATATGCAATTTTCTCTACTAATGATGAGAATTGCACTTAATTGAAGAAAATCAAAAACATGGAGCCAGAAGTTACTATCAACAAGACTGACGTTGTGGCTGACATACATCCCTGCTATGAAATAGATAACTTTAACTACATACTGAAAAGCACCCCTTCTGTTGTATGTGTATTACTATATGTTTTCCTTGTACTTTTGTCTGTTATTACAATATGTGGAAATCTTCTTGTTATAATCTCCATAATTTACTTCAAACAGCTTCACACACCCACAAACTACCTGATTCTGTCTCTGGCTGTGGCTGACCTGCTTGTTGGGATTGTAGTTTTTCCTTTCAGCATGGCGTTCTCTCTCAGCTCATGTCTGTATTATGAAAGTTTATTTTGCAAAGTAAGGGGCAGTTGTGATATATCGCTCAGTACATGTTCTATTCTGAACTTGTGCTGTATTTCTATTGACAGATATTATGCTGTGTGTCAGCCTCTGACATACAGAACTAAAATTAACCATTGTGTTGTTGTGATCATGATCCTGGTGAGCTGGGGTATCTCTGCTCTCATTGGAATTGGTGTAATAATTGCAGGATTAAACAATGAAAAATGTGAGGAAAGGTGTTTAATCGATGTTCTCATAGCAAACACTATTGGACCTATTTTATCATTTTACCTCCCAGTGATCATAATGCTCTGTATCTACCTAAAGATTTTTCTTGTTGCGCAGAGACAGGCACGCAGCATCCAGAACACAACCTGTCACAGCACAAAGTCTGGAGCAGTTGTCAGTAAGATGGAGAGAAAGGCCACAAAAACTCTGGCAACTGTTTTGGGAGTTTTTCTTGTATGTTGGACTCCTTTCTTTTTATGCATCACCTTTCTGCCTTTTTCTAATATTCCAGTACCAGTTAATGTGATTGAGACTCTTAATTGGCTTACATTGTCAAATTCAATGCTGAATCCATTTATCTATGCTTTCTTTTACAGCTGGTTCAGATCAGCTTTCAAAATAATCATTTCAGGGAAAATATTCCAAGGAGATTTTGCAAACTCCATGTTGAACTGACTTACTGTTTGTGGTGCAGAAACAGACCACTGAAAATATAATGTTACAGTAAATGTTGACACATTAAAAGTGAATATTCACAAAGAAATTGTCCCAGTTTACTGGAGTGCACCTAAGCATCACATACATATACATAAATGTATGTGTTCATAGAAATATACGCTACATGTGTAAAATACCTTAAAAGAACTGTTTAAAGGCAGTGTTAGTCTTTAATTTTAGCAAATCCCTTTATTGTATTGTAAACCAAACTCAAGGCTCTAACTCCTCCTTAGAGCTTATCACAGACTCATATCACTGCCTGTTCCACCTAGTATCTCCCTATGCTTCCTGATTAGCCACTCTGTGCCCAACATACACCAGACTTCACACAAAAAATTCAAAGTCATATTAAATGATCCGAATCAGCCCCATGTGTATAGAGACAGGGTTTTCGGTCACAATAAGTGTCAATGCACTTTAGTCCTTAAATCCATTATAAGAAGTGGGGACAAATGGTCTTTGTATAACCCCAACTTTTATGTTGCAATAATATACAGAAAATATATTTTCTTAATTTCTCAAGTTCTGAAAGTAGAACCGATAATACCGGAGCTTATAGATATTCCAGTTCTTAAAAATTTATCCCTGGGTCCCATTTAATACCAAGATTCAGACTTGGAGGTGCTGACCCTCATCCAAAACATCAAACTGCCCGCTGCAAACTGCCCCAGTGCATACTGAAGGTCCTAGTCAGACGAGGCTAACAGAATCACATCCCCCCCCGCTGTGCCTTGAAATTCTTTCCATTTAAATCACAGACAGGCTTGGTGGCAAGGGACAACCCTGGCAGAGGCCAATACCCACCAGAAATGTGTTTGACTTTCTGATGAAAAATACAACACAACTCTCACTCTGGCTATACAGGAACTGGATAGCTCGTAGCAAAGACCTCAGAACCCTGTATTCCCACAGTGACACAGACAAGATCCCCCAAAAATCTAATTTTTGTTACTTCCAGGGCAAGTCTCTTTTGACCCTCCCCTGTAATTTGAACATTGGTTCTTTCTCTCCTGCATCCACACATTTCAGTCTAGTATTGACTTTAATTATTATGGCCAGAGACGCAAGAGCTATTGTAGCTAGAATCAATGTATGCCTCACAAACCAGCCAAGTTACAAGAAATAAGGTCACAATCTTCCCTTCCCGAGTTACAGCACTGAATAATGGCCACAAGTTTATTTGCAGACCATTATGATGTCACAGTGAAGTTGACCTTTGTCCATTTGGTTGTAAATTGTCATCACGTCTCTATTTTATCCAATTAGACATTTGAGTTAAATCATGATAATTAGCTCAGTTATGGTCAAAAACGTGTTTTGTTAGGTCATAAATCTTGACCTTTGACCTTTGAGAATTCACCAAATTCTAATCAGTTCATCCAGTCAAAGTGAATATTTGTGCCGGATGTAATGAAATTCCTTCTGGGCGCTCCTGATATAGCATATTCTAAACAACATGATGTCACCGGGACCTTGAACTTTGACCTTTGCCTATGAAAATCTAATCAGTTCATCCTTGAGTCCAAGTTTGTACCAAATTTCAAGAAATTCCCTCAAGGTGTTACTGAGATAACCTGTTCACAAGAATTGGATGGACAAAAGGACGGACAACCCAAAAGACATAATGGCTCCGGCCACAGCAATCGCCAGTGGGGAGGCGTAAAAAGCAAAGGGGAAAGGTAGTACTCTTGTCTCCATCTGCGGGAAAGGCAAAGTAAATTTAAAATGATTCACTTGAGAACAATACAGTTTTAATTACTTTGTTGTTTTGATTTTCTAGCTAGCAGTCCGCCATTTTGTTCGGGTCCTTCAGAAAGACTTGTTCTCAGCCAAATTACTCAACATTTTGGTGATATGTTTTAATGCAACTTATACTTTATATTTTCTGATTATAATTTGTTATGTTTTGTCTGTGTGTGTTTGATGTTGTGTCTTGCTCTAAATTACTTACTTTCTACTTTTTCTACTTTTAACCGGGAGACTTTTGGTATAATGTCCCTGGAAAAAGATCATAGTATATTTACCTAAATGATAAATTAGTAATTAACAATTGAAAAGGATTTAAAACATTAATCTCTTCTACAGTGCAGCATGTTGCTATAGCTCTGATGTCATCGGGATGAAAAGCCCTATATCTGATTGGACAATGTAGGACTGTACTGACCATGGCAATGAAAGAGGACTTGATAAAAGTCAAGGTTGTGCACAGAGACACAGTAAAGAAGAACTGTCGTGGGCATTTAAAAGGTATGATGTAAATTTAAAGACTTTCTTTTCTTCTAGAGAACTGTCATTGTAGTTTCGGATTCATGTAGAGTAAACATAACATCTTCAATATCATTAATAATGATTTGAAATCTGATTTGCAGGAATCCAGAAACATGACACTGAGATTCACCATCAACCGCACTGTTGATACCCATCCATGTTATGAAATAGATACGGTCTCTTACATACTGATAAGAAAACCTTCCACAGTATGTGTTTTATTATATATTATCTTTGGCTCATTATCTGTTGTAACTGTATGTGGAAACCTTCTTGTTATAATCTCCATCATTTACTTTAAACAGCTCCACACTCCCACAAACTGTCTCATCCTCTCTCTGGCTGTGGCTGACCTGCTTGTGGGAATTGTAGTCTTTCCTCTCACCGTGGAGTTCACTTTGAGCTCTTGTCTGTATTATGAAGATTTAATTTGCAAGGTACGAAACAGCTTTGACGTAACACTGGGCACAGCTTCTAATCTGAACCTATGTTGTATTTCCATTGACAGATATTACGCAGTGTGTCAGCCTCTGACATACGGAACTAAGACAAATGTTCATGTTGTGGTCATGATCCTGGCGAGCTGGAGTGTCTCTATTTTAGTTGCCATTTCTTTTGAAATTGCAAAGTTAAACTTAGCAAAATGTGAAGAAAAGTGTCTCCTTGAGATTCTACTGGCAAGCACTTTGGGCCCTTTTTTCTCTTTTTACCTCCCAGTGATTGTAATGCTCTGTATCTACTTAAAGATTTTCCATGTTGCACAGAGACAGGCACGCAGCATCCAGAACACAACCAGCATTAAGTCTGGAGCTGGTGTCAGTAAGATGGAGAGAAAGGCCACAAAAACTCTGGCTATTGTTGTGGGAGTTTTTCTTGTATGTTGGACTCCTTTCTTTTTGTGTATCACCTTTGAACCTTTTTCTAATAATCCAATATCACTTACTGTAATTGAGATGCTTAACTGGCTTGCACTGTCCAATTCAATGCTGAATCCATTTATCTATGCTTTCTTTTACAGCTGGTTCAGATCAGCTTTCAAAATGATCATTTCAGGGAAAATATTCCAAGGAGATTTTGCTAACTCCATGTTGAACTGACTTACTGTTTGTGGTGCAGAAACAGACCACTGAAAATATAATGTTACAGTAAATGTTGACACATTAAAAGTGAATATTCACAAAGAAATTGTCCCAGTTTACTGGAGTGCACCTAAGCATCACATACATATACATACATATATGTGTTCAGAGAAATATAAGCTACATGTGTAAAATACCTTAAAAGGACTGTGTAAAGGCAGTGTTAGTCTTTAATTTTAGCAAATCCCTTTATTGTATTGTAAACCAAACTCAAGGCTCTAACTCCTCCTTAGAGCTTATCACAGACTCATATCACTGCCTGTTCCACCTAGTATCTCCCTATGCTTCCTGATTAGCCACTTTGTGCTCAACATACACCAGACTTTATATAAAAAATTCAAGTCATATAAAATGATCCGAATCAGCCCCATATGTATAGGGACAGGGTTTTCGGTCACAATAAGTGTTAATGCACTTTAGTCCTTCAAATCCATTATAAGAAGTGGGGACAAATGGTCTTTTATTGAGTGATCATAAAAACAACACATACCTACTTATTCGCATATAAAGTGAGATCCGATCACAAGTGGTCGCTCGAGACATGTGGACACGCATTCTAATGGCAGGTGTGAACTGACGTGCTTAGAGCTGCCCACTTGTGATCGGATCACTGAAGACGCATGGTAATTCCAGGTCTGAGCAGGGCCCAAGTTGCAAACTCCAGCCCTCATCTCTCCTTGTAAGTCACAAGTATACACATACACAACGTGCCAAAGCTAACAACAATAACCTAAAATAAGTACTTCCAGTAGCTGTTGATCAGACCTCCACAATGTTCAAGAGGAATTTTGGAACTTTCTTCCAAAATAACTATTTCATATTCTTAGGATGTCTGGTGTGAGCAGCTCTCTTCAGCTCATTCCGCAGGATCTCTAATGGGTTAATTTCTGGGCTCTGACTGGGTCACTCCACCTAGGGATGGGTATCGTTAAGATTTTAACGGTACTACTACTTCTATCGATACCACTGATCAGTACTTTAACAGTTCTCTTATTAGGGATGGGCATTTTCAGTAATTTCAATATTCGAGTACTCTCATTACCTCATGAACGAGTACTTGATTACTCACAAATTTGTATATATATATACTCACTCACTATCGTTTTTTTTACGTTAAAAAAGAATACGTAAGATTGTTTGTCCGAGGGGAAACACAAGCTTAAATTTTTGGCCGTCTGAGAACGTGATATGCATTTAACACCACATTTTGCACTGCACGTTATTGTTGTCTTTTTTTATCAAAGTATTTCCAGACATCATTTTTCCTGATCAGGGAGCCATGGTGCACGTGATGCGAACTGAGTTGAACTATTGTAGCCAAAAAAACAACATTGCGCAGGTGCACGAGCATTGAAACGCCTTAACGTCGAATAATGACGTCAACAATGAGTACTCAACCCATCCCTAGTACCCATTCCTAACGCTTATTGGTACTTTTTGTCACTTAACCCCACCCCTGCCATAGACACTAAGAGCAGGGTCTGTGTGTGTCTGTGTGCTGCACGGTGCTCCAGTGTATGACACAGAGCTGCCCCAGCCAATCACACAGAGGGTCAGAGAGAGAGAGAGACACAAAGAGAGAGAGAAAAAGAGAGAGAGAGAGAGGTCTCTCCTCTGGGTTGGGAACAATGAAAATGCATAAATTCATAGACAAATGTCTTAATCAGAAACAGAGTTGGTGAGATAAAATGCGCCATAGAAATTTTATGTTGCAAAAATAAACAGAAAATCTATTTTCTTAATTTCTCAAGTTCTGAAAGCAGAACAGATGATGGGCCCCAGGGCCCATTTAATACCAAGTTAAAGACTTGGAAGTGCTGACCCTCATCCCAACCACTTTACACTCCGCTGCAAACTGCCCCAGTGCATACTGAATGTCCTAGCCAGACGAGGCCAACAGAATCACATCACCTGCAAATAGCAAGAAGGGAAGTCGGAGGTTTCAAAATTGGCCCCCCCCCCCCCACTGCGCCTTGAAATCCTTTCCATTTAAATCACAGACAGGCTTGGTGGCAAGGGACAACCCTGGCAGAGGCCAATACCCACCAGAAATGTGTTTGACTTTCTGGTCAGTCCGCCATTTTGTTCGGGTCCTTCAGAAAGACTTGTTCTCAGCCAAATTACAAATTACTCAACATTTTGGTGATATGTTTTAATGCAACTTATACTTTATATTTTCTGATTATAATTTGTTATGTTTTGTCTGTGTGTGTTTGATGTTGTGTCTTGCTCTAAATTACTTACTTTCTACTTTTAACCGGGAGACTTTTGGTATAATGTCCCTGGAAAAAGATCATAGTATATTTACCTAAATGATAAATTAGTAATTAACAATTGAAAAGGATTTAAAACATTAATCTCTTCTACAGTGCAGCATGTTGCTATAGCTCTGACGTCATCAGGATGAAAAGCCCTATATCTGATTGGACAATGTAGGACTGTACTGACCATGGCAATGAAAGAGGACTTGATAAAAGTTAAGGTTATGCACAGAGGCACAGTAAAGAAGAACTGTCGTGGGCATTTAAAAGGTATGATGTAAATTTAAAGACTTTCTTTTCTTCTAGAGAACTGTCTTTGTAGTTTTGGATTCATGTAGAGTAAACATAACATTTTCATTATCATTAATAATAATGATTTGAAAACTGATTTGCAGGAATCCAGAAACATGACACCAGGAGTCACCGTCAACCGCACTGATGATATCCATCCATGTTATGAAATAGATACGGTCTCTTACATACTGATAAGAAAACCTTCCACAGTATGTGTTTTATTATATATTATCTTTGGCTCATTATCTGTTGTAACTGTATGTGGAAACCTTCTTGTTATAATCTCCATCATTTACTTTAAACAGCTCCACACTCCCACAAACTGTCTCATCCTCTCTCTGGCTGTGGCTGACATGCTTGTGGGAATTGTAGTCATTCCTACCAACATGAAATTCACTTTGAGCACTTGTCTGTATTATGAAGATTTCATTTGCAAAGTACGATTATTCTTTGATATAACACTGGTCAATGCTTCTATTATGAACCTATTTTGCATTTCCATTGACAGATATTACGCAGTGTGTCAACCTCTGGCATATAGAACTAAGACAAATGTTCATGTTGTGGTCATGATCCTGGCAAGCTGGAGTGTCTCTATTCTACTTGCCATTTGCTTTGTAATTGCAGAGATAGACCATGAAAAATGTAAAGAAGTGTGTTTCCGGGAGATTGCAAAAATTTTGGGACCCATTTTAAATTTCTATCTCCCAGTGATCATAATGCTCTGTATCTACTTTAAGATTTTCCTTGCTGCACAGAGACAGGTGCGCAGCATCCAGAGCACAACCTGTCACAGCACCAACCCTGGAGATGCTGTCAGTAAGATGGAGAGAAAGGCCACAAAAACTCTGGCTATTGTTATGGGAGTTTTTCTGATGTGTTGTCTTCCTTTCTTCCTCTGTTTTACCTTTGAGCTTTTGAATCATGTGTCAGTGCCAGTAAAAGTGTTTGAAACTCTTAACTGGCTTGCACTGTCCAATTCGGTGCTGAATCAATTTATCTATGCTTTCTTTTACAGCTGGTTCAGATCATCTTTCAGAATGATTATTTCTGGGAAAATATTTGAAGGTGATTTTGTTAATGCAAAACTTTTTTAAATTATTGATTGGTGTGCTTGTCAATATAACTAACACTGGCACCATGCATGACTCTCACAGTTTTGATGTGTTAGACAATATCTATGTGCTGGTTAAGGTAGATACAAACACTGGTGCTTAATAGGGAGCTGTCCATGATTGCAGTCATGTAAATGAAAAACACTGCCTTTCTTGCAGTATTTGCAGTAGAGGCATGTACGTAATCATTGGAAAATATGGTATAAACAAACTGTATGCAACATTTCTAACTCCTGGAACCTATTGGCATAACTGGACTTGGTATCATAATTATAGGAACAAACCAAGAACAATGTGCTGAAACATGTGCTGTGATGGCAAATATTATGGGACTTATTTTCTCATTTTATCTCCCAGTGATTGTAATGCTCTGTGTCTTCATAAAGATTTTCCTTGTTGCACAGAGACAGGCACACAGCATCCAGAACAAAACCTGTCACAGCAAAAACCCTGGAGATGCTGTCAGTAAGATGGAGAGAAAGGCCACAAAAACTCTGGTTACTGTTATGGGAGTTTTTCTGATGTGCTGGCTTCCTTCTTTCCTCTGTTTTACCTTTGAGCTTTTGAATCATGTGTCAGTGCGAGTAATGCATCACCTTTCTGCCTTTTTCTAATAATGCAGTACCAGTTCTTGTGATTGAAACTCTTAACTGGCTTGCACTGTACAATTCAATGCTGAATCCGTTTATCAATGCTTTCTTTTACAGCTGGTTCAGATCTGCTTTCAGAATGATCATTCATTAGGGAAAATATTCCAAGGGGATTTTGCTAACTCCATGTTGAACTGACTTACTGTTTGTGGTGCAGAAACAGACCACTGAAAATATAATGTTACAGTAAATGTTGACACATTAAAAGTGAATATTCACAAAGAAATTGTCCCAGTTTACTGGAGTGCACCTAAGCATCACATACATATACATACATATATGTGTTCATAAAATATAAGCTACATGTGTAAAATATCTTAAAAAGAACTGTTTAAAGGCAGTGTTAGTCTTTAATTTTAGCAAATCCCTTTATTGTATTGTAAACCAAACTCAAGGCTCTAACTCCTCCTTAGAGCTTATCACAGACTCATATCACTGCCTGTTCCACCTAGTATCTCCCTATGCTTCCTGATTAGCCACTCTGTGCCCAACATACACCAGACTTCACACAAAAAATTCAAAGTCATATTAAATGATCCGAATCAGCCCCATGTGTATAGAGACAGGGTTTTCGGTCACAATAAGTGTCAATGCACTTTAGTCCTTAAATCCATTATAAGAAGTGGGGACAAATGGTCTTTGTATAACCCCAACTTTTATGTTGCAATAATATACAGAAAATATATTTTCTTAATTTCTCAAGTTCTGAAAGTAGAACCGATAATACCGGAGCTTATAAAATTTATTCCCGGAGCCCATTTAATACCAAGTTTTGGACTTGGAGGTGCTGACCCTCATCCCAACCACTTTACACTCCGCCGCAAACTGCCCCAGTGCATACTGAAGGTCCTAGTCAGACGAGGCCAACAGAATCACATCATCTCAGAATAGCAAGAAGGGAAGTCTGAGGTCCCCCCCCCCCCGTGGCAAGGGACAACCCTAGCAGACGCCAATACCCACCAGAAATGTGTTTTTGACTTTTTGATGAGAATACAACACAACTCTCGCTCTAGCTTGTGGCAAAGACCCCGGAACCACGTATTCCCACGGTGACACACGCGAGATCCCCCAAAAATTAAAATTTTGTTCATTCCTGAGTTACAAGTTTATTTGCAGACCATTGTGATGTGAATTCACCAAATTCGTTCCTGATATAGCGTATTCTAAACAACATGATGTCACCGGGACCTTGAACTTTGACCTTTGCCTATGAAAATCTAATCAGTTCATCCTTGAGTCTAAGTTTGTGCCAAATTTAGGAAATTCCCTCAAGGTGTTACTGAGATAACCTGTTCACAAGAATTGGATGGACAAAAGGACGGACAACCCAAAAGACATAATGGCTCCGGCCACAGCAATCGCCAGTGGGGAGGCGTAAAAAGCAAAGGGGAAAGGTAGTACTCTTGTCTCCATCTGAGGGAAAGGCAAAGTAAATTTAAAATGATTCACTTGAGAACAATACAGTTTTAATTACTTTGTTGTTTTGATTTTCTAGCAAGCAGTCCGCCATTTTGTTCGGGTCCTTCAGAAAGACTTGTTCTTAGCCAAATTACATATTACTCAACTTTCTGGTAATATGTTTTAATGCAACTTATATTTTGATTGATTGATTTATGAATATACTTTGTTATGTTTTGTCTGTGTGTGTTTGATGTTGTGTCTTGCTCTAAATTACTTACTTTCTACTCTTTCTACTTTTAACCGGGAGACTTTTGGTATAATGTCCCTGGAAAAAGATCATAGTATATTTACCTAAATGATAAATTAGTAATTAACAATTGAAAAGGATTTAAAACATTAATCTCATCTACAGTGCAGCATGTTGCTATAGCTCTGACGTCATCAGGATGAAAAGCCCTATATCTGATTGGACAATGTAGGACTGTAGTGACCATTGCAATGAAAGAGGACTTGATAAAAGTCAAGGTTGTGCACAGTCGCACATTAAAGAAGAACTGTCGTGGGCGTTTAAAAAGTATGATGTAAATTTAAAGACTTTCTTTTCTTCTAGAGAACTGTCTTTGTAGTTTTGGATTCATGTAGAGTAAACATAACATCTTCAATATTATTAATAATGATTTGAAATCTGATTTGCAGGAATCCAGAAACATGACACCAGGAGTCACCGTCAACCGCACTGATGATATCCATCCATGTTATGAAATAGATACGGTCTCTTACATACTGATAAGAAAACCTTCCACAGTATGTGTTTTATTATATATTATCTTTGGCTCATTATCTGTTGTAACTGTATGTGGAAACCTTCTTGTTATAATCTCCATCATTTACTTTAAACAGCTCCACACTCCCACAAACTGTCTCATCCTCTCTCTGGCTGTGGCTGACCTGCTTGTGGGAATTGTAGTCATTCCTGCCAGCATGAAATTCCCTTTGAGCACTTGTCTGTATTATGAAGATTTCATTTGCAAAGTACGATTATGCTTTGACATAACACTGGGCACAGCTTCTATTCTCAACCTATGTTGTATTTCCATTGACAGATATTACGCAGTGTGTCAGCCTCTGACATACGGAACTAAGACAAATGTTCATGTTGTGGTCATGATCCTGGCGAGCTGGAGTGTCTCTATTTTAGTTGTCATTTGCTTTGTAATTGCAAGGTCAAACCTAGCAAAATGTGAACAAAAGTGTCTCCTTGAGATTCTACTGGAAAACATTTTGGGACCTATTTTCTCATTTTATCTCCCAGTGATTGTAATGCTCTGTATCTACTTAAAGATTTTCCATGTTGCACAGAGACAGGCACGCAGCATCCAGAACACAACCAGCACAAAGTCTGGAGCTGGTGTCAGTAAGATGGAGAAAAAGGCCACAAAAACTTTGGCTATTGTTATGGGAGTTTTTCTTGTATGTTGGACTCCTTTCTTTTTGTGTATCACCTTTGAACCTTTTTCTAATAATCCAATATCACTTACTGTAATTGAGATGCTTAACTGGCTTGCACTGTCCAATTCAATGCTGAATCCATTTATCTATGCTTTCTTTTACAGCTGGTTCAGATCAGCTTTCAGAATGATCATTTCAGGAAAAATATTTAAAAGGTGGTCTTACTAATTCAAAACTTGCATTAATTATTGTTTGTTGTGCTTAAAAAGCCTGTCAATATCTACTAATATACTTTTCAATATAACCAGCACTAGCACCAAGCACAGCTGTGACAGTTTTGATGTGTTACACAAGATCTTAGGGGATTGCAGACTGTGCAGATTCACTTTAATATAACAGCATGCGCTTTGCACCATTTATTTAAAAATACTATATGTCAACAGTAAAAATGCAACAGCTCTAAAGTGCGAGCAACTCTGAAAAACTTGTGGATAATTATAATTTGGAAAAAAAAAAGATTTGTACATATACAATATGTGCTTGCATTATGCACCATTTTTCTCTGTTCTCTATAAAAGTATGTGCAATGTAAAAGACAACTGTAAACAATACTGCAATACTATAGCAATGTTTAAGTGTTTCCTTCTGGAATACAGATAATAATGGGAAATAAATTAATGATGGAAAATAAATAAATATTTTAGATAAAAAAATACAGTAACACTGAAGTGCTTAATAAACTGGTAAACTGAAGTTTAAAGTGAAATCAAGAAAGCCACTATCACTTATTTCTTCATTACTTTTGGGTTGTAAACAAGGAAATTGTAAAGGACAGATCATGTTCAGCAATGAACCTGCACGCACGTATTTTTTGATCGCAGACACGGTCAGTCATTGATGACTGAGTATCAACCCTAACTGTCGCTCCCGGTAACGTAGTTGTATGTTGGAGTGTGCGGACAGTAGCTTTATGACCGGGGTTCAATTCATGACAAGAGAGCACTTTTTTACCGCTGATGGCATATAGAAGCTTCCTCGAGCATTTCACGCAGAAACAAGCGCCCGTCTCCTTCAAGCTGCTGGATCCTACACTGCCAGAGTTGCCAAGACCCGCCCTGGTCTGCTTCTGATTGGCTAGTAAAGTTGGTTAGGTTCAGGGTCTGGTTAGGTTAAGCGAGAGCGAGAGCTGCATTCCTCTCATACCATTGGTAGATGAACTTTATTATCTCAAACATGCATCAACATGCATCAACAGCAAATTCCCAAGTGTATTGACATTTAATTTTTCATTTTTTCTCTCACCACATTACGCCGGAGATACAGCACGGTGCTGGGATTTAAACCCTGCATTTATCTATGCTTTCTTTTACAGCTGGTTCAGATCCGTTTTCAGAACGATAATTTCTGGGAAAATAATTCAAGGTGATTTAACTAACCCAAAATTGCAGTTACTGTTTGTGTGTGATGAAATACTGAGATGTTCTATACAAATTAACATAATAAATGGGAGTACATCTAAAGCGTCTGAACCATGCCCTTAAATAAATATTTCTTTCTTGATATTTGCGTCTCTCTATCGGAGACCGGGCTCCGGTTTTTGCTGTACTCAGCCAGCAGGATAATATGACTTAATCAATACCTCTGTTGCGTATCCTAACAGCATGCTAAGCTAATGAGCATACTGCTGGAGTCACCAACTAGACCAAAACAAAAACAGCATGTTCAAGCTAACCACCATGCTAACTAACTAACTAGCATGCTGCCTGAGCCACTATCTATCCAAACTTCTTCTATAGCCAGCCCACTAAGCATATAGACCTGGCTAACACCATTAGCCAAAAACAAGCAGCAATATGATGCTCCAACAGCCTGACAAGCTATTTAGCATACAGCCATCTAGCCATCAGCAGCATCCTACAAATAACATACACACAACACATATCTGTCAATAGCATCATAAGTTAGCATTGTAAGTTCTTATCTACCCATCCCCACTAACCTCTTGTTTAACCAAAGCCGCGTTTCCACTGCAGGAACTTTCCCCAAGTACCAGGAACCTTTTGAGGAACTATGAATGTTTCCACCGCAGGAACCAGGGTCTAAAGTTTGTTCTGGGGTAATTGATCGACCCCCAAAAGGTACCTGGTCGGGGGGTAGTACTTTCCAAAGGTTCAGCAACTTTGGGGGTTGTGGTCTGCAGTGCTGAACATGTCTGACTGGTCAAATCCTCGCTGCATTTTATTTCACCCGCGATGTTTGAAAGTCCACAGTGAGCAAGCGGGCACTGAGCAAGCAAACACATTTTCCACACCACGAAACAGGTCCTGAAGGAGGTAAAAAAAAAAAAAAAAAACTGAAACAGGACTTAAAAAATTAAACGACCACAACAACTGAGTGGCTAGGGTTGCCACCTGTCACATATAATACAGGATCGCCCCGTATTTGAAAATAAAATGCTGCGTCCTGTATAGGGCTATTGACATGAAATTATCATCAGATGTCGGTAACAACCCAAGTAATCCACACATACAAAGAAATCAAAACATATATGTCCATAAATTAAGTTATGTGTAATAAAGGGAAATGACACAGGGAATAAGTATTGAACACATGAAGAAAAGGAGGTGCAAAAAGGCATGGAAAGCCAAGAAACCAGCTGAAATCTGTCAGTATTTAGAAAGCAATCCTGCCCCTTATCAGTACAAATTAATATCAGCTGGTTTAGTCCTAATTGATGGCCTATGAAAAGGTTTCTCATTACCAAGGTGTCACACAATGGGCATCTCATGATGGGTAAAGAGCAAAGAGCTCTATCAAGACCTTTGCAACCTTATTGTTGCAAACCATACTGATGGCATTGGTTACAGATGTATTTCTAAACTTCTGAATGTTCCAGTGAGCACCACTGGAGCCATTTTCAATGGCAATTTTTCCCATATTTTCGTTCATGTTATGTCCTCAAAGTGCTGTGAATAATGTAATGTCAAGTAATAATTTTGCATAATCTTCCCGGGACTTCAGGCCGTGGTGGAAACGCAGACAACAATGAACCACAGGAACCTTTTAGTTCCTGAAGAACTTAAAGTTCCAGGTACCTTTTTGGTAGTTATCCACATTATCCACATTAGTTATCCAGATTAGCATGTTGACGACTTAACATGAATCTCGAGTTTTTGGCTTCTTTGTAGGTTTAAGATTCATCAGGAACTGTTCTCAGGATGAACACTTTTTAGGGTGAACCCCATAAGTGGGGATAATTTCCAGATATGAATTGCTTCCCTTTTTAGATTTATAATGAAAGAATGTTGAATTTTACACCAGCTTAGAAGAACCAAAAACTCCAGACTCATCTCAAATCATCAACATTTTATTCTGGATCACTCAGCTCTATCCAAGCACAGGGCCCTGGGGCCAGTTTCACAAAGACAATTTAGCTTATATGGTCTATAGTGTTAGATTTGTATAATTTTTGGTGTTAGATCAGTGAAATCCAAGTCAGATAGTTTTGCAAAAACTTATTTCAAGTTGAAAAAGTTAGCTACACTACCCCCAGACTAACGTAGAACTATGCCCTATGTTTCCATGGTGACAATTAGTGACACCCCTACCTCTGTCCCTGAGGGAGTTTATAGTGGAAAGAGAAGTTTTAATTCATCTATGAATTTTCAACTATGTGAACTGTTTTCACTCCATCTGTCTCAACACCTGCAGTACACACTGAAGTAGAAAATAAATAATTTGACACCAGTGAATTTACAAAAAAAAAAAAAATTCATTTAAAAAGTTAATTTGAAACAGTTAAAACAGACTCAAGGACACACATGTATATTATTATTCATACCACATGCAAACAGAATATTGTGTACCCCATCTGATTGGACAAGAGCCGTTTGTATTATTAGTCATTATGGTAATTAGGTGGAGGTTGATCATTTAAATATCAAGTTCAATGTTCCTGCACAGTGGCACAGGACACACATCCAGATACATAGAATATCTTGAAGTGTATGGTATGACTTCAACTTCATATATTAGAAATCTTTAAAGTTTTTGTTTTTTTTTACATCTTGTCTTTGTTTGCCATTTAAGTATTTAAAGTGTTTTCTCAATGTAATTCATTATTAATGGAAAATTGAATTTGCAGGAATCTAGACACATGGAACCTGAATTGACTGTCAACGAGACCTTCACTGTTAATGACATACATCTCTGCTATGAATCAGATAATGCATCATACATATTTACAAGCAACCCTTCAATAATATGTGTATTATTATATATTTTACTTGGTTCATTGTCTGTTGTCACCATATGTGGAAACCTACTCGTAATAATCTCCATCATTTACTTCAAACAGCTCCACACTCCTACTAACTACCTGATTCTCTCTCTTGCTGTGGCTGATCTGCTTGTGGGAGTTTTAGTTTTTCCTTTCAGCATGGCGTTCACTGTAACCTCATGCTGGTATCATGAAGATATATTTTGTAAAGTACGAGGCAGCTTTGATGTTACACTGAGCACAGCTTCTATTTTAAACTTGTGTTGTATTTCTATTGATAGATATTACGCGGTGTGTCAGCCTCTCACTTACAAAAGTAAAATAAATGATCGTGTTATCATGATCATGATCTTGGTGAGCTGGGGACTTGCTGCTCTTATTGGCATTGGCATTATAATTGCAGGTTTTAATCAAGGAAAATGTGAAGAAAGTTGTTTAATTGATGCTCTAATATCAACCACTCTAGCATGTATTTTTTCATTTTATATCCCTGTCATTATAATGCTTAGTATCTACTTAAAGATTTTCCTTGTTGCACAAAAACAGGCAAACAGCATCCAGAGCACAACCTGTCACAGCACCAAGTCTGGAGCAACTGTCAGTAAGATGGAGAGAAAGGCCACAAAAACTCTAGCTACTGTTCTGGGAGTTTTTCTTTTATGCTGGACGCCTTACTTTCTCTGTATTGTCTTTCAGCCTTTAACATACAGTATAACACCAATTGCTGTAATTGAGACTCTTAACTGGCTTACACTGTCAAATTCAATGCTGAATCCATTTATCTATGCTTTCTTTTACAGCTGGTTCAGATCTGCTTTCAGAATGATCATTTCTGGGAAAATATTCCATGGAGATTTTGCTAACTCAAAACTCCTTTGACATTGACATTTGTCATTTTAACATTTTAATTTGAGTACAATGATAAAGTTTGAAGGAATAAATATTAACTAATTTCACTATTACTATTCACTGTCTGAGCAAAAGTCATCATATATACACCAGTATTTATTTGTTAAACAACACTTAGAAGTAAAAAAGTGAAATAAACACTGTTTTTCATTAGTTTCAACACAATATCCCTACCCCTAACCATGCAGATAACAGATATGATTAAAATCTGTACAGACTATTTCACCAGCCTAATTTCTTCAGGCAAGGCATTTATTCTGTGACTCTGTGAAATACATTGTCTTTTCATATATTGTCTTTACCTCAACATCTGCTGAAACAGGAACTCCCTGCCTTAAAGTCTGCATTATATACAATCTAACAGGGAATCAGGTCACAAATATGCTTATATCACTTGAATGGTTTTGCTGAAGCTATCACCTTTGACAGGTCAGCTTGTGTGTCTTTCACTAAGCAGCCATATCACACCTATGTTGAAAAATTAATCAAGTGACATCAGTTGATAAACACACAAAATGCTTGTTTTCAACTGCCAACTGTCATTATATACCTTCATATACAGAGCCCGTAATTTATAATCGTGTCTTTATGGTCTGACTCTTACAAACACATACTGGCTGTGGCAGTCAAAAAGGAGGACACACATTTACAGTAAGTGAAGGCCACATTTACTGCACATGTAGACAAGTATCATCCTGTTGCTGTACAACACCCAGAGCCTTGCAAATTCGTGCATGTGAGTGAACCAAACTATAAATTAACATTGATTGTAAATTATGTCGAAATCTTATGCATGGGAACCTCATGGCAGTAAAGTGTGTCTCACACCCATTAGCATAACCATAACAAGGTTCTGTGTAACTGAGAGGGCAAGCTTTCTACTCTTTGATAATTAACCAGGAATAACTGACTAGTTAATGTTAGCTACCTGTTGGCATATGCTATATTGACTTGCTATAACATCAGATATGGCACCTGTCATCATGTCTGTAGTGCAAGGTGACTATCTAACTTAAAGCTACAAGCAACTGGAAGCCGACAGCTAACCTTACTTGCTGAGTAATAGAACAATTAACATCACACACAGTCTGTATTTGTCAGCAAAGCTGCTCTTCTTTCTTAGTCACAGTCTGTCTGGTTGTCTACACGACAGATATGGCACCCACCACCTTGTTGAGAGTTAAAGCCACTCACTCTATGCTTTTCAGAACATCTGGGAAGATTAATAAAAACTGATGTTAAAATCATGTGAACATCGGCTTTAATACACTCGTTTATACACTCCTAAAGACTTGGTACTCTCACCTTGAGTCCTCTCTCGCGCTATGATCCTCTCCTCCACCGGGACCTTCCACTTGTGGCTGAGAACCAGGCCTACTTTCAGTCCTGACGCATTAACCTTATCTCGTCAGTAACATGGATTAACTTTTTTTCCCATACTAGAACTAATGATGTCTCCATTCTGCACTGTTTCACCTGTCCTCGCGATTCTCCTCTATTTTTAAAATAATCTGTGATTTGAGACATTTATGCAAAAAAAAAAAAAAAAAAATTCATGATGGGATGTAACGTTAATTTAGGGAAACTTTTCGAGAAGCTGGGTGTGCTTGGATGTAAAAGAGATAATATTCATCTGTAGGATTGCCACCTTTTATGTGAAAAAAGATGGCAACTGGTTTGGTTTTACTTGACATTACATTATTCACAGCACTTTCATGACATATCATGAACGAAAATACGGGACAAATTGCGTCCTGTATTGATTCAAATCCACTGCGTATTGAGAAAACAAGTACTAGAATTTTGTCGGGAGGCGGAGGCGTCCCGTATTGATTCAATACAGGAAGAAGCATTTTATTTTCAAATACGGGACCATCCTGTATTGTATGGGACGAGTGGCAACCCTATTCACCTGTTTGAAGAGCCGCAAAATCAGGTTGCCGCCCCCTTCCGGACGCAGGAAATCAAGCGCGTTTGTATTCTTCCTCTTTGGCAATTTCGGATGGCTCCGCCTGATGCACGGATTATGATACAGCGCTATTACATTGCCATAGTGGCATACAGCCGTAATTGCAATTACAAACGTCAAATCACCAAGTACCGAGAAAACAAGTTGGCTACTAGAATTTTGTCGGGAGGTGGAGGCGAGAAAATTTGACGGAGGCAAATACATTTTTTCTTTTTTATTATGGTTTACCATGTTTTTATCTATAAAATAAGGAAAAATTCAAGGTTTGTTTTTCTTTGTTTTATGGGCTATTAACCTTTATTTTACTGTACTAAAGCCTTTATTGGGTGATATTTATTATTAGCTGATGTTATGCTGATTCTGAATATGTGTAGCAAATATGTGTAAAAACACAAAAGATATTAAAAAAACGAAAATATTGAAATATAAATTATGTTGAAATTTGATGAAGTTTTTGAATTTTATTTTGGGTAAATTCGTATTTTTATTTTTTAATTCAATATTAACTGAGTAATAAAAAAAAATTGATAGATTAACCGATAAACGAATAATGGTTAGGTGCAGCCCTAACACATGCACACAACATACGCACATCTGATTGCATAACCAAATTTTCTGTTGATTTAATGAGATAGGGGTTTATAAATACTGTAACAAGTCCAATGGTTCTGAACAGTGTCATTCTGACTAAGGACACACACCACTATACTGAGGTGTTACTAGGTAAGGGAAAAAACTTAATTCAAAGATCAAATTAAATGAAAATCATGAAGCCTTATTTTACATGATTACTGACGTTGTAATTGTAAATACATGCTGAACTAAATATCTTTTAAATGTTCTTAATATTATAGACTATTACTGCAGAGAAGCATGGAAGCAGAGCTGACTGTCAACAGCACTTACATTTTTAATGACATACATCCCTGTTATGAATCAAATAATGCAACTTACATATTTACAAGCAAACCTTCCATACTATGTGTTTTAGTATATATTTTCCTTAGCTTATTGTCTGTTGCTACAATATGTGGAAACCTTCTTGTTATAATCTCTATCATTTACTTCAAACAGCTGCACACTCCTACTAACTACTTGATCCTCTCTCTGGCTGTGGCTGACCTGCTTGTAGGAGTTTTAGTTTTTCCTTTCAGCATGGCATTCACTGTAACCTCATGTCTTTATCATGAGGATTTATTCTGTAAAATACGAGACAGCTTTGATGTATCACTGTGCACGTCCTCTATTTTGAACTTGTGCTGTATTTCCATAGACAGATATTACGCAGTTTGTCAGCCCCTGACATACAGAAGTAAGATAAATGTTCACATTACTGTGATCATGATCCTGGTGTGCTGGAGTATCTCTGCTCTAATTGGGATCGCTATAATAGTTGCAGGGTTCAGCCAAGGAACATGTGAAGAAATGTGCTCAGTTGATGTTGTAATGGCAAACACTATGGGACCTGTTTTCTCTTTTTACCTTCCTGCATTCATAATGCTCTGTATCTACCTAAAGATTTTCCTTGTTGCTCGGAAACAGGTGAACAGCATCCAGAGCACAAAGTATGGAGCAACTGTCAGTAAAAGGGAGAGAAAGGCCACAAAAACTCTGGCTACTGTTTTGGGAGTTTTTCTTTTATGTTTGACTCCTTACTTTCTATGCATTGTTTTCCAGCCTTTGTCTTATAATCCACCACCCATCCCTGTGATTGAGACACTTAACTGGCTTACATTATCAAACTCAATGCTGAATCCATTAATCTATGCTTTCTTTTACAGCTGGTTCAGATCAGCTTTCAGAATGATCATTTCTGGGAAAATATTCCAAGGGGATTTTGCTAACTCCAAACTGTTTTGATTTATTTTATGGATTGGTGAAATATCAACATGCCAATAAAGGTTGGAACAACAGACCAATACTTCCCCACTCAGAAATCTGGTTCTGTTGGAGGTTTCTTCCTGTTAAAAGGGAGTTTTTCCTCTCCATTGTCATCAAGTGCTGCTCATTGTGGGAACTGTTGAGTTTCTCTCTATCACATTGTCAGGTGTTGACTTTACCCTGTAATAATGCATGCGCAATACAAAATAAAATTTAATTGAATTAAAAAGTGTGAAATAGTGGATGGATAGTTTTTAGCTACCCAACTTAAACCCCACCCAGTGGATTGGAGCAGGGTTTATGCTGATTTGCATGTAGCCCAGAATAACCAACCAATTCAGAGACCCCCAAGCCATGAGTTAATGCGTTTGGGAGAGCTAATATTCTTTGTAATCTTTCCAGACCAAAACCCTTTTTAAACCCAAATTTGCACATATAAGCAGGTTTTTTTTAAGAGGGTGGGAAGTGAGGGCATTGAGGGGAGCAATCAGACGACTGTAGTTATAAATGAAAAATTTAGAAAAGCTGGTGTAACTGTGGAACCTAATTTCTCGTTACAGCCAATGTATGATTGGGAATTTGACAGATTAAAGGTTAACCAATGAACTACAAGCATTCAGTAACAAATATTTTTGTGCAGTGTAGATAGGTCAGTGACATCACATTTAGCCATGCTAGCGGCGAGGGTCTTGGGATGACAATGTTACAATGTTAGTAAATCCAAGCAGCATCAGTAGCATTTTAATTGTCTTCAATGTATAATCTGTATGGCTGATAGCCAGCTTTCAAATATGAAGACTGACTGCTTTTGAATTCCTATCTGCAGTGTGAATGTGTGAAAATACCTGATCTGACTGTGAGTCTTACACAGTAATTATGGCAGGTTTTTTTTTTTGCTGTCACTGTTGTTGTTACTCAGCTGTTCTTGTTTTGTTTCAGTTTGTTACTCTGTTGGAACCATTTCAGACATAAACATTACATAATTACCTATTAGCAATTATAGCGCCTTGGGGAGAAGCAGAGCTCATGTGTACCACCAGAGCAGTTAAGGGACCAAAGGCTCATTCACACCTCTAATAGGAGAGGTGTCAGGTTGCATAATATCATTGCATCAGACCATAAACAACTTGTGTTAAGATCTTACATAAGATTTTATGGCCAAATATTTATTGTTGGTAATACAATTGAACAGTTTAATGTCTGAATAAAACAGAGACATTTTCAGTAACTTGTTGTTCAGTATATACAGATTAAACTGATTACAAATCAGCCTGATTTGTGCAGTTCCATTATAGTTGCTAAAATCTTAAAAAGGAAAATCAATTGTTAACATCCAAGTCTTAATTCATAAGTTGTGCCCATCATTTTACAGGTTATGAACATTAAATCTAGGGGGCAATTACAAAATGTAAGGGATTCCATATTAAAACATACAGAACATAAAGAAACATTTAGCTCCAAAGTCATGATTAGGTAGGGAAATATGCAGATTCTTTTGTATGTATTAGCAAAATGTTTCCTGACAATATAAAGCTTGATAAACATTTTTAGGGTCATGTTTTAACTACTCTTAGTACTTTGGTTAATAGGTCATGGAAGGTTCCGGAAAGAGCCTTGTTTTGGTTACTTGACATAAATCACCTGTCTAAATTTTATTGAAGCTTAAAGTTATGAATAAGTGTGGGTGTGGCCGCTTTGAGTGACAGATGGGTGCCATCTCAATTGGCTAGCCGCTCAGTTTCTAACCCCTAGCTGCCTACCTAAATTTATTCAGCCAGCGAATGAATTAGCCTTGAGTTACCCTTTGAGCATGACCCTAACCCAGACACCCAGCTGTGCTAACGATGCTAACAGGAGCGCATGATTGCCACTGTTATTAAACTGATGCACCAAAGAGTCGGCTTCATACATGCCCTACCTTCTTTGGATTAGCTAGGAGTTAGGTGGAGTCAGGCACTGCCAAGATGGCGACGGTCGAGCAGCCCAGTCTGAATTTCAAAACCACTCTTCAGAAACCTACTGGTGACGTCACAGAGTCTACGTCCACATTTATACAGTCTATGGTTATGCCACGTGTTAAAAACTGCAACAATAGTAACAGAAAATTACATGCAGATATAGGGCCTTTGCTGTCAGGGCCCCTTTGGAACAACCTGCCAAAGGAGATCAGACTTGCAGGGTCGGTTCTCCATCTTATTTCCCTTCTTAAAATACATTTTTAGAATTGAATATAATTATATTATTGTAAACATGACGGCTAAGGTCCTCTCACCTTAAGGAAGTACTTTTAAAACAAGTAGTTTTTGTGGTGAAACCTAGTAGAATATAGTAAAAGAGAGTACAATATGTCTGTTCAGTTTCAATTAAGGGAATTGAAATGTAGTTAGTTAATATAGGTTGTTGTATTATTAGGTATATTAACAGTCTGCTGTTATTTTTCCTTACTTCATTCTTACATAACATGACCTTATCTGGTTGCTTAGCTTTTACAGATTTTACAATGGAAATGTATTTTTTAGCCTAAACTCTGATTTAGTAGCAGCCAGGACCAGCTAGTTGAGCTAGTCACAAAGGGGTTTTTATTTCTAAACATAACCTCTGACCTCATAAAATGTATTAACTAATGAAATGCTCCTTGACCTTTTATAGTAATGCTGGGATTGGTTACTATATTAGGTAGTACACAAGTTAGCCAGGCATGCTAATGCTTGTGGCTTACATTAGAGCAGATAAACATACTGTTTAATCAATTCCTTACACCTTTGATGTGTGTTTTTGGATTTGTTTTTGTCAACATGTTTAGAAATTCAAAGTTTGACATGCCTGCAGTGCCTGGTTACAGTTACTATTAGGGATGGGCACTTGAAGAAATTTCCTTGATCGATCATCGGAAAATTAACGATCAATTATCGATCCATTATTAATTTTTTATATTAAAAAATGCCTATGGCAGAAAGTGGCCTTTGATCAGCACATCGGATAGCAGCCTTAGTGTCAGATTCATCAACTCTAATGAAACCGCCTGGCCTAGACTCAAACCACCACAACTATCAAACACCGAACAAACAGCCGTCAAGAAAAGTGCAACAACTCATTATAGGTCTACACAACATGAATGAATGGATGACGACACCTGATCACACAATCACTTACATTTGCAGAATTCATCATCATTGACAATGGTCACCTTATCACACACAGTAGCTGCGCTTTTTACAACAAATGAGAGGTAACAGTTACATTGCTATAGATTTAAATCTCTGATACCCCTCCATGAAAAGTGAAAACTGTACTCACCCATTAGAAGTTCAACCGTCGGGCCTTCGCTCGGCAAAGTCATTAGCAACACTGCTCAAGTCCAAATTCCTGGCTCTGCTGTTCTCTATTGAGAGCGTAGCCAACCCAGCTAACGCTAGCCTCCGGCTGCACGTCAACGTTAGCAGTCGATGAACCTGATGCATGGTGAGAAAAAAGTTTCACCATTTTAGCATTAAACTCATCCTGTTCTCTTTTACCGTTCCTCTTCTGTGCGCCGCTTTTTTTCTTTTTTTTTTTTTTTGACTTGCTAAACATTTCTCTGAAAACTGAATCGTCCATTTGCTGAAAATACCCGTTTCTTCCTACCAGGTTGAGAAAAGGACGTTGACGTCCACTCACGCAAGTTATCAGAAATGACAGGGCGCAAGCTCATTGGTCAACTTAGAATTTACCCGGAAACCCTTACTTCGTAACTTTTGAGAAGAATGTAAATATATTAATTTAAAAATATATTAATTGTTTGTTTATATTAATGTAAATATATTAATTTATTATATATATATATATATATAATTTATTTTAAATTAATTTAGTTTTGGAACATGTCAATAAGGGTAATAAAACTTTAAAAGACTATGACTCAAAATCGCTATTGCAGTTGGCACAAATATGCCATTAGTTTAAACAACCTTAATTCGGAATTTCACCATGGTCATTTCTCAATTACTCTTATACAGGTGATATTTTTTAACTAAGCAACTATTGGTTAACTAAGCAAACAAGTTACTAGTTAAAAAAGTTCAGCCAGCTATTGCAATGGTAATGATTGACTTGCTAACTTTGTAACAAGTTAATCAGCCACAAGTGCCTTCTGTCTGTAAGAAGTTTTCTGTCAGATATGACTGAAATGAGGAAGAAGTCAGCTTGACATTAGTTACTTGTATGTTGAGATCTCTGATCCAAGCATTATGTTGCAATACTGCCATCTACTGAAGTACTTGTTACTCCTGCATTTGTGATGTATAAATGATGATGTAAGAGCTGTTAATTAGAAGCACAGATACAGATTTGTGCTGTGTTTTTTACAAAACACAAGTCATGTGACATTTTATGAGTCATATACACATCACAACACAGGCCATCTAAAGAAAAAAAACAATATAGCACTTATATTGTGATGGTGATAAAACTGTGTTTACTGTGTGCACAGTGCACTATGTGTATCTTAACAACACTGAGTCATGAGTGGACACAGCCTTGCCCTAGTGAACACAGTTTCACAATAATTAAGATTTATGGAACAGCACTAGCAGCATTTTATAAATCTGAAGACTGCGTGTGCATATTTCTATTTTGTTCATACTCACAAATATCAAATATATAAATATAAAAATATACATGGAATATAAATTTTTCTTCTTAATGCAAGAAGTTTTGTTAACTTTACTGGTAATTTTACATCATATTCAAGACCTTTAACAACATAGTGACCCTGGCCCTTGAGCAGAGGGTCTGTGGCCTTGGGGCAGTTTCATTTCACTGTAGAAATTGTAGGATCCATCATTGAGTCATTATTGTAATTGGGTGAGTATTAAGTAGACTATATCATTTATAGGAGTCGAGCCTTAATTTATTTATTTTTTAAGATTTAAGTGTTGTCTTGTGCTCATTTTGTGACAGAGCAATCATTTAGTCAACATAGTGGAAAAGCAATGGTCTGTGTGGTATCTTATGAGAAAAAACACTTTCAATATTGTATGTTTTTATTCATAATTTACAAAAATAAATGATTTGAAAAAATAAATCTACTGTACATTGAAAACTCAATGAATACACACATTATTTCACAATAAGCATCTTATTTAGCAAATGTTTGGAGCTAATGTTTCACTGCATTACTAGATCTTTGTTTCAATTCACAATCTTTTTTAAAGCACAGTGCACATTAGACAGAAGCTGAATTATCAGTGAAAACAACAATTTGCAGCAACAACATTGCAGGTCATGGAAATTATGTTTTCAGTTTGTGCGTATGCCGTGGCTGCTGTTAAGCTAATACGAGTTATTGATTGGCCACACAGCTAGCAAAATTCAATTTAACTTTTCAGACAATGGGCAAAATACATTTGCTTACACCCAACAGACCATGATTTTATGACAGCACTTGAACTTTTGCTGATTTAAGTTATCGGGCATAAGTGCAAGTGGCTAGCAGTTAGCAGACACTGTTTTTCCAGCAGTGTATATGCATTTAAATTAAGATTTTATAAGATAAACCTCATTTATCTGAACAGGTACAGTTTGTATTATTAGCCAAAACATTACCATTCCACTCTTTGTGTTTCAAAAGGCCTCTGAACCAGCATTACCAACATTCACCTGAATGATATGTATCTCATCTGTTTGCATCTCATATTTAAGTCTTTTTTTGGCTGCTGGTATATGAGATGGTCTTGAATCATTTGATCAAACATTTTCTTTTTTCAGACAGTGGGTTTTGTTTATGATATAAAAATGGCACATCAATAATCCCTGCAGGTATGCAGCTGGGCCAACAACCTCATTAGCTGTTGATATTTGGTTGAATGTAGGTTGTGACATCAGGTGACCAAAATTCAACGTCAGGACAACGTTAAATGCCAACATCAATTTGATGTAGAATACTGACAACAGCTGTAACTAAGTAACTAAAACCAAAATCTTCTGAACGTCTAATGCCAACACCATCTTGATATATAAAACATATTTAATCAGCATTCAATTTGTGAGCAAAACTCAACGTCAGTTAGCCGACAACCCAATTTTCATTTCCAAACGATATTTAACATCTGTCTGACATGAGAGTCCAAATTCTTTCTGACATTACATTGATGTCTAGTGGCCGCTGGGATGAGACTAAATACTGTAGTTTCCAAAGGAAAATGTGCCAATCTTAATGTCTATCAACTCCACACAAAAGATCTAAAATTGTGACTTGTGTAACTAAAATAAATTATAGATTTCAGCTTTAAATATGGTGACACATTGCAATAAAATACAGAAAAATCTGAGTTATTAGTGTTGATTGTGAAATCAGCTACTTTTCACTTAAGTTGTAGGATGCTATAGCTACTTTAAATTAGATCATCCTATGACTTATTTAAAAAACGTATTGATCAGGAATTACTAGTGAACAAAATGCTTCCTTCTTACAAGTTCCTTTGTTACTACTCTGGCTTGTGTGATCTTTAAGTGTTACCAAACACAGCAGCATCAACTGTTTCAAAAATACCATTTCGCAGGATGAGAACAGTGATCTTCCTTTGAACATCTTCACTACATACTTTCTTGTTGATTTCAAAACATGTTTGTCGCACCACCATTTACATTATCATTCCAGTGAACTTCAACTTGTCATAAAAACCTAGTTTCTGATTATCTACTGAAAATGAATATCTCACAATGTACTCGAATGAATACCTGACAAATCTTATGAATATTTAAATCATTTTATGTACAGATTGTTGTATTGATTCAGATATTGACAAATGACTCTGATGCACCTCCGCTGTTTGAGCTGGCAGCTTGTGAAACATGGTAGATATCTGAAAGACATACAACACATTTTTGATAAGACAACAATTTCGAAGAAGCAGGAAAAGCTGCTTATTGTGAATTAACTTACATCTTCTTCCAAGTAGTCGACTTATAAAATTTGTTCCACTGAATGATGAATTGCCACCACTCGTACTCTATAGTAGAAACAGGGAAGTATGTGTAAAATACAGTGAGTTAATGTAATGATTCTGCCACATTTATATACAAAGAAAAAAAAAGGATCATATCTAATAGTGTAAAATCACTTACTCCTGTTGAATTAGAGCCAGTGCCGGTGCTTGTTGTAGGTACTCTCCTTGAGAGGATAGAACGGATCTACAGGCACAATCAAATTTGTGTGAATGTCAAAATCCATAGTGATAAACTATTATGCAATTTCAGGACGTAATCAGTGAGACTAGCACTTCAAAAAGTTAACAGTTTGCCATTTTGAAAAATTCGGTTTACAGTGTGTTGTGCTAAGAGGTAGAGGAAAAGACTTATACCACGCTCATATATTTGCTTACAGCACGGCACTCTCCGTAAACCGAATCAGCATAAGAGTCTTGTTTAGTAATTACAAATCAGAAATGATGCAATTCAGCAATTACATACAGTTAAGCCAGTGTTCCCCCCCAAAAAAACATAGTTGAACAACGTATTCTTACTTTTCAGCTCATTATTTACTGGCTTGAATTTTGGATACTTTACCTGCATTTTGCTTATAATACTTCTTTACTTGTTTTACTTTTTTAGTTTTTATTTGGCACAAACATTCACTTGAACTCAAGGATAAAATTATTTGATTTGGGTGTTCAGAGGTCAAAGGTCAAGGTGACTGTGAGCTCATAAAACATGCTTTTGGCCTACAGCTCACAAATTCATACGTTAATTTTGACACAATTTAACTCAAATGTCTACAAGGATAAAATCAAGTGATGACATTTTATATCAAATGGTCAAAGGTCAACTTTACTGTGGCATCATAATGTTCTGCAAAAACTCAGGAAGGGGAGATTGTGACCATATTTCCTGCAACTTGGCTGGTTGGCGGAGGCATACAACTGTGAGGCGCTAATTCTATGTTTTTGCCGACTATTCCTTTAAAACCAACTCACCTTTGAGTCGAATAGTGTCCCAAACACTAAAATGAAGAAACCCTGAGGAAAAGCAGATATACACAATTGTTAATCATGAGAACGGAAGAACACAAAATGATTTATTACACAAAAATACTGTAAACATGTAAAATATTTGTAAACATTAAATTACAACTTTTGTATTTCAGCGGGTGCAAATACCTGTAGTGAATTGAAGAATGCGAAGGCAATATGGATTCCTTTATTTGTTGGTGACACCATGGTTCCCACTCCCAAAGACCAGGTCAGTCCAAATAGAGGAGTCAAAATGATCACACATCTTGTAATGACCACCAGTGTATGTTTTTCATCTGGATGGGCAGTGGTTCCCGTGCCTCTTCTCAGCATTTTGAACAAGACCACAACTACGATTAAAATGTTGATGAAAACTATGGTCAAGGCAGGTACCACCATGGCCAGGAGGGCCTTTGTCTCATTCCAGTTCAGCCAGCAAGCATCAAATTTCCTGATGTATCCATTCCCTGGTGCTGTGACGGCAACAGTAATAACAGCAATAATCAGAGGGCAGCCATAGCCTAAACAGAACCCAATGGCCAACATGGTTGCCTTGGACATGTGTGAGAAGACCATGACCGTCCGGTAAAAGAGCAGAAGTCCTGACACGAGCATCCAGAAGAAAAGAGAAAGGTAGAAAAAGTGCATGAAAAAAGTTGCAGTGCTACACGGTGCAAGTGGAACTGCATGGTCCTCCCCTGGGTTTTCAAGGGGGTTCTTCGCTATAGAGGCGCCGATGAGGAAACAGATGTCGGCGATCAGCAGAGACAGGGCAGTATTGACGATGGAAACATGACGCATGAACGCAGTGCTATTTCTGGTAATGGCTTTCCAGACACATCCTTCAATAATCAGACATATGACTAAGCTTGCCAGAGATATCCCAACTCCAACATAAGTGATTATATCCAAAGCTACTCTCAGAGATGGAGGGATGTTCGTCGCCATCAGAATGGAGAAGGAGGTCAGGTGGTTACAGCGGCAGGTTACTGTATTATTTTTGTCTGAAACAAACTCGCACCCTTCATCATCCCACGCTCCAAGATTATCGAAGAGTGTGAAGTTCCAGAAGACACACTGTGGGTTCAGCGTCAGGGAGTTGTTCAGCTTGTCGTAGCTCAGACTGACATTCCTAATCGTTGCGTTTATCTTGACGAGCACCACAGCTGCGTTGATGGCGTTGTCACTGACAGTTTCATTGCTGGTGGCGTTGAAGAGGCTGGCATCAAAGGTGGAGTTCCGTAATGGCATGACATTATTAAGGGTGGACAGGGTGATGGTGGTAATGGAGACTTTGTTCATGTTGGTGTTTGGAATATCTATGACGATGCTGGAGTTCAGGTCTGCCCTGAAGGAGTTGTCAAACGTGGTTCTGTTGAGCAGGATCCGTGTGGTCGCGATGGAAAACTCCCCGACCAATTGATCTGAGATAGTCTCCAGAGAACCCAGTAACGCTGAGCTGGAGTTGCGGGTTTCATTCGCATTCAGAGTTGCCCAGGACTCTCTTGCATCCTCACCAACGATGGCATCAATAGTGGATATTACATCCTGCAGATCAGGAGACATTTCACTGTCAGGGTACAACCTCATCAAAAAGAACATTTGCTGCCATAAAACAAATATCCTTTACTAAAAGTGGAAGGTTAACTTACATGCATGACAGTTTCATTCACAGTAGTTGAAACGGTTGCGACGGTGTTAAGGATGTCAACGACAGCTGATATGGTTGCAGATGAATTTGCAATTTTTGTTTGCTGTTGCTGGACAGTTTTATTTAGATTCGCCACAAATTGTGGCACTTCCTCCTTCGCCAAATCCTGAAAGAAAGAAACATTAACACAGAAATCTGTGACACCACATTGTTAGTATGACATTGACAGCTCTGCATGACAAATGCAGAGATGTTTCTTTCTGGCAACAAGAAACTATTACAAACAAGGGAAGGCTGTCCTGCTCTTGAGAGAAAGGTTTAGATTAGAAGTCTGTCTTAATACAGTTTTCATATTCTATATATATATTGCTAATTGTAGGATGTGATAAAAGTCCCAGTGTGCAGAAGCCAGTGGTTTGATTTATAAAGTTAAAATCAGTTTTCAGCAGCCTTAGTTTGCCACGCTGAAAATTACAGTAACATCCAAAGTTACAGTCTTTTTAGTGCGATATTTGCCAAGATAGTGTTTTCTCTCCTATCTACAATAAAGGGATACGTCCCAGTACTGTGGATTTTGTGCACTGTTGTTGTACAATGAAGGAATTGCTTCACAGCCAGCATGAAGAGGAGGACCAATTCATCTTTCAATGTATGTATAGCATCTGAGTTAGACTAACATAAGTAGTTAATATCCGCAGGCAAACAAGCAGTGAAGGTACTGTCTGACATGAATGAACCAGAATGAACCAGACAAGCCCCGAAGCCCAGGAGTGGTAACATCATCATCGGCATACAGGTGGCAGTTGGGTAGAGGAGGAAATCACCTACCTGTGAATCAATTAATAGTTCCTTGATTTCTGTTACAATGCAGGTATCCTCCTGAAGTTTCCACTCTCCTGTTTCCTGGCAGATCGCAGTCTTGCTTCCCTCTTGACCTTGAGCACACTCTATGCTTGATCTGTCACCTGCTCGCCCGACCCCGTACTGAGCGTCGTCACACCTGACATCTTAACAGTTAAATAATCAGTTAGTGAAAAAGACCTTAGAAACAGCAAAAGGAACAGCATTGTTATATTTGAAAAATTGCTCTTACCATCTTGGAAAATGGTCATTGTCATTGTCATTTCATAACTTCTAGGGTTAACTACCCTACATATAAAAAGTAGTGTTTTTTGTGGTGATCCACTGCAGCTTCCTAGGTTGTAATCATGCCTGATACAGTTGGCTTCTCCATCATCAATAGGAACTGTGAACATTTAACAGTGTTGTTAATAAGATAAACTGTTAACAGCCATGTCCAACTTCACAGCATGGCTAGAATGAGGAGTCTTACCTGACTCTAATCGGTTTCCATCTAGAAACCACTCGACTGTGAATGGGCGCTGTACACAACACGTTAGTGGTTGCATCGCTTCGTTTTCACATCTTACGTTAACTTCACTCTGTAGTCGCACAATGGGAGCTTGTTTGATATTAGCTTCTGTTACATCTCCCTCTTGGAAGAAACCCAGTGCCATGATCCTCAGGGTACAACTGTAGTATCCTGTGATCAAGAGAAGAAGGTATTAATGACTGCACAGATATAATGTAAAATAAGGCAAAATGGGTAATTATCAATATGTCAGTATTTCACTATAGCTGTGAAATATTTTTATACTTCTTTATTCCATCTTACTTTTAAATACAAACTAAACATTATAACCTTCATAAAGGAGGATTTACTGCAGGACTGTTGTATTAGACTACATCAGTGTTACCTAGATGTTCCTAATAATTTGCCAGCTGAGTGTATATGTATTGCAGAGTCCTGACTGGAATGAATTGGTTGCTTTTTGGTGCCGCCCTCATCTGGGAACTGATACACCAGGTAACCTAAAGATGTTCTTTAGTTTAATAGTTTTATCATATATTATTATCATCACTGTATAACATGTTTTACCCCCCCCCCCCCTTTAAAATGTAACACATTTACTCAGAGACATTTTAACTGACTTACATTGCACTTTTATCTGAGTACATTTTTACTGAAGTAATTTTACTTCTACTGTAGTAATATGTCTTTTCAGCAACAGCAGTGTGGCTGTTCACATGCTGACGTGCTGCTGGGTTTTTAATGATGTTCTCTTCCCAAATTACAATATATCTGATGGTATTTCTTAGTATCAATATCATGACCCAGCAGCAACCTCCAGGGATGAAAAATGAAGCCAACATGGAACTGCAGTTTCTCGAATGACCACTTGAGGCTTCACAAGGAAGTCGCTCTCCATAGACTAACATGTTAAAATGCAAATTTACTGCAGAGAGAACATGTTTACAGCCAGGTACAAAAAAGGTTTTGGTCTCTATGCCTTATTTCCCACTTGATGACCACTGTAGGGGGTGTGAACTTTTCTATGATTCACTGATTTAAATTTCATTAAGGTTTAAAGTAATGCATTATTGAGGGTGTGGCTGCTTTGAGTGACAGGTGGGTGCTGTGACAGTTAACTAACTGCTTGGTGTCACTTCAGCCAATTTGAGTCACTGAGGCACTGTTGGTATATGGTATATGTGTCTGAGCTCACTATAACGGGCTTGTTAATTTAGTTAACTAGTTAATTAGCCAGCAAATGACTTAGCCTTGGGGTAGCCTCAGGGCAACATGCCCAGATACCCAGCTGTGCTAACAATGCTAACTGGAGCATATGCTTGCCACAGTTGTTAAACCAATGAACCAAAATCTTGGCTCCACACATGCACCACTTTGGATTAGTTAGGAGGAGTCAGTCACTGCAACAATTGTGACAGTGGAGCAGCTGCTCTGAGCTTCAGAATCACTCTTCAGAAATCTATGGGTGATGTCTATGGAGGCTACACCCATGTTCATATACAGTCTATGATTATGACACAGAATCCAGCTTTTTATGGTCTAAACTGGGCAACTATTGTACTATACAAGTTGTATAGTGGTTTTCTCATTAGTTAACCAATTCAGCTAGCTCTGACTTACCCCTATCAGCAAGAATGACGTTGTTAACTTTAAGCTTAGATATATTGTCAGAAGTAGTTATTTCCATCCTTCCATCATCTTTAATTTCCCGTCCTTTAAATTTCCATGCAGAACTATCAATCTTTCCCACATTCATTTTCTTTGGAGGGCCACATGTCAGCGTCATGGTGTTCCCAGTATAAGTGAGGTTAGGAATGCTGATTGATGTTGGACCTTTGGATAAAGCAAAATTGATCAGTAAAGAATTCAGTCAAGTTAAACAAACAAAAAATGAAAAACAAACTTAGAGCCTTTTTAAACTTACTCCTGTAAAATGCAGAAACTGGGCCAATGACAGGGGCAATAGCAAGCATTGCATCAGGAAGATTTTTAATTGCATTGGTTATTTCACCAGGGACAACTTGTGTTGTCTCAACAACAAAGTCTGTAATTACGCTTCCTTCACTGTAAGAACAAACAAAAGCCAAAGTTGTGATGTGGAATGTGGTAATTATAACTCCTGTGTCTGAAATACTGTTAATGTCAAAATTACCATACTGTACCTGAATCTCGTCACAGAAACACCGATATATCCTGAGATTTCTTTATACAGGTCCTCTAGCTGTGGGAGAGATACGGTCATTGATGTCAACATCTGAACACAAACCACTGAAAATACAAGTTAGGATTGAGTATGGTGTCAAAAGTGCACTTACCACTGGAAGAATACGTGATTCAAGGGCCCTGTACTCTGCACTTGTTGGATCATTTAATTCTGATGTGTATTCCATGTCTAATCTAATTGACATTTCCAGGTCAATTCCTGTTTGTTCAAAAAAATTTACTTAATTGATTAATTTATTTTTGTGATGTAAGACTAATAAATAAATAAACAAATAAATACTCCAGCTGGCACTTGTGTTCAATGCCATTTAATAAAACATCAGATTTTTTTTTTTGGTCAGTAAAACATTACCTCTAAGCTGTGTTGGTGAAGTGGGAGTTGCAGTGGTCGTCGAAAGGGCACTGGTAGTAGCTGTACTGGTGGTGGTGGTGGTGGTGGTAGTGGGAGAAGTGGCAGTGGTGGTAGCTGTAGTAGTAGTGGTGGGGGTAGTGATAGTGGTAGTACCCATAGTAGTGGTTGTTGTGGGGGAAGTGATAGTAGTAGTAGTAGCCGCGCTAGTAGTTGGAGTAGGTGTGGTTGGAGCATCTGACGTTGTTGAGCTGATTGTGGTATTTCCGCTGGTCACATCAGTAGCTGAAAATACCACAGTTCAAATATCATTACTTAAAGTCTCCCTTAAATGTTGCATTAGAAACATTTAAGAATAGAATCATTTTAGGATCATGTATTACCGTTGTCAGTTAAAAAACACTAAATTATTAATGTCCAGATCAGTTAAGCACTTACTTGTTACTGGTGTTGTAGCGACTGTTGTTGTGCTCACACCCGTTGTATCTACTGTTGTTGTGCTCACACCCGTTGTAGCACCTGTTGTTGTGTTCACACCCGTTGTAGCACCTGTTGTTGTGCTCACATCCGTTGTAGCGGCTGTTGTTGTGCTCACACCCGTTGTAGCGGCTGTTGTTGTGTTCACACCCGTTGTATCTACTGTTGTTGTGTTCACACCCGTTGTAGCGGCTGTTGTTGTGCTCACACCCGTTGTAGCGGCAGTTGTTGTGTTCACACCCGTTGTAGCGGCTGTTGTTGTGCTCACACCCGTTGTAGCGGCTGTTGTTGTGTTCACACCCGTTGTAGCGGCTGTTGTTGTGTTCACACCCGTTGTAGCGGCTGTTGTTGTGCTCACACCCGTTGTAGCGGCTGTTGTTGTGTTCACACCCGTTGTAGCGGCTGTTGTTGTGTTCACATCCGTTGTAGCGGGTGTTGTTGTGTTCACACCCGTTGTAGCGGGTGTTGTTGTGTTCACACCCGTTGTAGCGGCTGTTGTTGTGCTCACACCCGTTGTAACGGCTGTTGTTGTGTTCACACCCGTTGTAGCGGCTGTTGTTGTGTTCACACCCGTTGTAGCGACTGTTGTTGTGTTCACACCCGTTGTAGCGACTGTTGTTGTATTCACACCCGTTGTAGCAGGTGTTGTTGTGCTCACACCCGTTGTAGCTACTGTTGTTGTGTTCACACCTGTTGTAGCGACTGTTGTTGTGTTCATACTTGTTGTAGCGGCTGTTGTTGTATTCACACCCGTTGTGGTGAATGTTGTTGTGTTCACACCCGTTGTAGCTACTGTTGTTGTGTTCACACCCGTTGTAGCGGCTGTTGTTGTATTCACACCCGCCATTTTATAATTACGTATGTTAAATTGAAAAATAAAATCTGACATGTTTGAAGAGGTGGCTCAACGAAATGCTTTCTACAGAACTCACAAACATTTTGGAAGGTTTGGAAGCCATTTTTTACAATGCTCAATGATATGTTGTATCTGTGCTCTGTCTTATTCTGTATACTGCACTGATATAGCTCCTCCACCCATTTTGTTTTGTCTTTTCTCTGATCTAATATACAGTATATGAAGATGAACAATTATTTTCGAGCACTTACTTGTTACAGTTGTTGTTGTTGGTGTTGGTGTTGTGGTAAAAGTTGTTGTGTTCACACCTGTTGTTGAATCTGAAAAGATCATTTTGTAATTATACAGGTTAAACTGAAGAATAAAATCTGACACATGAATTTTAAACACCTATTAACAATGTAAGAGATCCTAGATCCTTAATTGAATCTCAAAACCTACTGTTAATTCAATTAAATTCATTAAAAGTTATTTATCCCCAAGGGGCAATTTTAAGGGCACATAGATATGAAACACACAAATACATAAAAAACACACAACCAGTGCAAGACAAATCATACACAATGACATGAAGAAACAATATCAGTGCAAAAAACAAAAAAACTATCATTAACCGTGATTTATGATATTTATAATGAGAATGCCAGTAACACAGGAAAATGACATTACTAGTGCAAATACATAACTGTGCACATAAATGGCATAAATAGAGTTGATGTAAGACCTCACAATCATAAGTAAAATCACTTACTTGTTACAGTTGTTGTTGGTGTTGCAGCTGTTGTAGTGTTAGTATTTGTTGTGGCAACTGTTGTTGAATCTAGAAAAAATACATAATGTCTAAAGTACAACTCTTCAAGTGAAGATTAAAATCTTTAAGCAAATATCAAGCAAATTTTAGGCCACCAATGTGCCAGTGGCATATATTATTGCTAACAATAAAGCTGGATCAAATACTATGCTTTAACATACATATTAGTAACTGTAACATATGTTATTTTTAAGCACTTACTTGTTAAAGTTGTTGTTGGTGTTGTCGTAAACGTGGTTGTGTTCACACCTGTTGTAGCGTTTGTTGTTGTATCTGAAAAGACAGTTTTTTAAATATGCATGTAAAACTGAAAAAATCTGCCTACTGTTACAATTATTTTTAAGCACTTACTTGCTGCAGTTATTGCTGATGTCATGGTTAAAGTTGTGTTCACACCTGTTGTAGCGATGGTTGTTGAATCTAAAAAGACCATTTTACAATTATACACGTTAAACTCAAGAATATAATCCAACAAAGTCATTTTAAACTCATTTTAAACAGTTTGACCTTCAAATAATTCTAAACCTACTGGTAAATACAGGTACAAGTTATAACAAGGAGATATAATGTCAGTGTCACGGTCTGTCTGAGGGAACTTGTTCTTTTGTACTTATGAACATAGTTTAGACTCTTTAGTTTGGAATTTTGGTTTATTTCCTGTTTTATTTTGAAACCACTGTGTGTCGTGTGCTAGCTTTACTTCCTGAAGATATTCATATTATAACAGTAAGAATTAAACACTTACTTGTTACCGTTGTTGTTGGTGTAGCAGTTGTTGTCGTGTTCATATCTGTTGTGGTAAAATGTGTTGAATCTGGAAAAAACAAAAAATATGCCAAATTACAGCCTTTCAATTTATTCTAAAATTGACTGGTGAATACAGTTGTCTGTGACTTTACGTCAAACTTGTTGAAACAAGGAGAAGTGATGTAAGAATGATTTAAAAGCACTGACTTGTTACAGTTGTTGTTGGTGTTGCAGCTGTTGTAGTGTTAGTATCTGTTGTGGTAACAGATGTTGAATCTAGACAAAAACATGCATAAAGTAAAGTGGTGAATAATTACTTCTTATTGTTAACTACAGTTGTTGGTGACATTGTGGAGGATGTTTTGTCCTTAATTCTGAATTCTTGTTTTTAGGATTATGTGTTATTTCTTACAATGCAAGTGCAATCTTTATAAATAAAATCAATAAATGGTAATGTTTGTACCATACATGTTATATGTTAATTTAAAAGTATAGCATTAGTCACTAGGGCTCATTGATGCATGCTTATTTATTACTGTTATTGTGTGCTGCGATAGTGGTCAGATTGTTGTGCAAAAAGTTAAACCTTTAAACATTAACTGAAACAGTAAAGTCAATATTTGATGCCAGACATATTTGACAATAATACATGCCAGTTACAGCAATTGGGTTTGGTGTAAAGGTTGTTGTAGTGTTTGGCGTTGTTGCAACAGTTGTGGTTGTTACTAAAACAAAGAAGTGATCAGAAACAAAAAGTGTCTGTATAGCTTGGGTCACATAATAGAAGCTCAATCAGAGTGGAAAAGGCATAGTAGAGACAAGCAGTGGGCGTAGCCAAAAGTAATTTCATACCATCTGGAGGACTTGGTGATGGACAAATGAAGAGTTCTGTTTGAAAAGAGTAAACATTAAATGCACGTATCTTAAATGTAACTGAGGAGTGAAAGATTTCATATTTCAGCTCCTACCTGTCCATGGCTGGCAGTAAGAGCCATCTGGAGGAATGGTGTTGATGCATCTACAGCTGTTGTCAAATCCTTCATAACATTTGCCATAAGTGGAACACATGTGACAAGGCCAAAGAAACTGCTCTTCACATCTGCATTGATGTGTCGTACCATTAGGGTAACAAACTGCAGAGAAAAATCATAATTAAAGAGAATGTAAAAATATGGTTTTCAGCAAACAAGGATTAATTCTGTTGATGTGTTACTGTTGTTACCTGTAGAAATGTTGACCTCAGAGATTTGTATGTGGTTGTTGATGCTGATGGGGGAACTGATGTTGTTCACAATGGTCCTCAGTTGATCGATCAGTGAAACATCTGAGATGTTCAACTCAACAGAAATGATGTACTCATAAACAACTGGAGGAGCTGCAGAGAAAGAAATCAAACAACATGTAAAAAGTAATGTTAGCTGATGGTCATAATATTTATTGATGAAATATCCTGTCAGGCTTACTTGTTGGTGGAGAGGGTGTTGATGGGAGACAGGCTGTGAAGTCTGTTGGGTGATTGAAAGATCTTTGTATCAGTGAAGTCACTTTCAGTTGACAGGAGGAGCATGGATAAGGTTTGATTATGCTGATTACACTCAATGGTTTTCAGCCTCTAGTCACTTACTGTATTGGTCAACAGGCTGGCAATATTGTCCATCAGGAGGAAGAGCATTGATGCAACCACATGTGTCATAGGTGCTATTGTCACAGGATCCATACGTTAAACATTGGTCACATGACCAAATGTATTGATCCTCACATCTGCACTGGAAACCACCGCTGCTCGGAGAGCAAACTGAGATAAAAAAATAAAAAAATAAATAAAAATTATGAATTCCACTTAAAGGAAATGTTTCTGAAACATTTCATACACATCCAATGATAACCCCTATGTATAAATGATAGGTTAGCTGTCAATAAAAATAGCAGACAGACAAATTTCACAATTATTCAGTGAGGAAAGTCAAACATTTAGTAGCTAAAATGATTTTGTTAAACCACAATGAAAAACATCTTACCTGTAGAAATGTTGACCTCAGAGATTTGTATGTGGTTGTTGATGCTGATGGGGGAACTGATGTTGTTCACAATGGTCCTCAGTCGATCGATCAGCGAAACATCTGAGATGTTCAACTCAACAGAAATGATGTACTCATAAACAACTGGAGGAGCTGCAGAGAAAGAAATCAAACAACATGTAAAAAGTAATTTTAGCTGATGGTCATAATATTTATTGATGAAATATCCTGTCAGGCTTACTTGTTGGTGGAGAGGGTGTTGATGGGAGACAAGCTGTGAAGTCTGTTGGGAGATGAAAGATCTTTGTATCAGTGAAGTCACTTTCAGTTGACAGGAGGAGCATGGATAAGGTTTGATTATGCTGATTACACTCAATGGTTTTCAGCCTCTAGTACAAAGCGGAGGTTTTCACAGAATAGCACTGATGTATCCACATGTGAGACAGATACAGGAGTATAGATTGTACTAACTTGAACATAATAATTGAAAAAGTGGTGTCATCTCACATTTGAGGGAAAGACATTGCAATGTAATCATGCATCTCAACAACAGATGGCAGTGTTTCCAAAGGTTTCCTTCTGACTGAAGCAAGCTCCTGTCTTTTGTTAACTTGAGATGCAGCACTCACACAGAGACCCACAGAGCTAGTCATCAAAGAACTGCTAGGAAATAGTCAGTGTCACTGATATATACTGGCTTTAATTAAGTAATTATTACAGACCAACTAACTGCATAAATCAACATGCTGGTAATACAGGAAATACAAATGCACTGAAGGGGGCATCATGAAGGAAGAGCTGAAAATGTTACAGTCTTTACTTTCATGTTTCAAAGCTTTGACAAACCCTCACAGCCAGGTAAGAAACTGCTTACTGTATTGGTCAACAGGCTGGCAATATTGTCCATCAGGAGGAAGAGCATTGATGCAACCACATGTGTCATAGGTGCTGTTGTCACATGATCCGTATGTTAAACATTGGTCACATGACCAAATGTATTGATCCTCACATCTGCACTGGAAACCACCGCTGCTCGGAGAGCAAACTGGGGACAAGCACAGATTAGACTTTTTAAAGACGTGTGATAATAAAACAGAACAGAACAATACTTTCTCATTATATTCATGGTATGAAAACATGTAACAACAGTGTGTCTACAGACATTATTTCTACCTGTAGAAATGTTGACCTCAGAGATTTGTATGTGGTTGTTGATGCTGATGGGGGAACTGATGTTGTTCACAATGGTCCTCAGTTGATCGATCAGTGAAACATCTGAGATGTTCAACTCAACAGAAATGATGTACTCATAAACGTCTGAAGAAGTGAAAGGACACAATAGAAATTCAATGGATTATACATTATCATAATTCTTGTGTGTTTTCTTATGTAAGTTAATCCTGTAGCCTCCACTGAGTTTTACCTGTTTCCAGAGAACATCCTGTAAGGTCTGTAGACAGAGACAAAGAGTTGTTGCTGATGAAAGTGTCAGTGTCACTCATGAGGTCAGAAAAAGGAATTCACTGATTTAAAATAACAAATATGAAAACTGGGATAAGTGTGTGACGGTAGCACTCACTTTGATGCTGTATTGACTGACAGTATTGTCCATCTGTGGGAATCGCTCTGATGCAGCTGCATGTGTTGTTTGTATCACTGTCACATTTTCCGTAGGTGGCACATTTGTCACAAGGCCAAAGGTAGTCATCCTCACAGCGGCACTGGAAACCAGCGCCATCTTGGCTGCAAACTTTAGGAAACACCACATATCTGTTCTTCTTCAAAATGTAAAAACAAATATCATAATAAAATCTACCCTCTGAAGGCTGAAATATTTGCTCTTACCCGTAGTTATATCAGCTGTTGAGATGTTTACTTGCGTGTTGATTTGGGCCGGAAAAGTTATGTTTTTCAGGGTGTTTCTCAGCTGATCTGCATCTGTAGTCTCCACCTCAACGAAGATCTGGTATTCATAAATAATTGGCGGCACTGTTGAAAAAAAGGTATTAATTAAAATCATGTGATGACATCTGAGCTAACCTGTGATCTTAGATTTTAATATCTACTGTTTTAAAAAGGGAGAATAGCTTCTTTTTTTTTTACATCTGTCTTCTAATTACCCAACCCATTTACAGATAATATCATATGACATATCATTCATTTGAATGCAAGAATTCACATGTTGCAACCGACCCCACCCTTGGGGACAGTTGCATTAAATTTCCCCAATTAACCTTTACTTTTGTCTGAATAAGCATAATATTCTGAAAATATGTATTGTTTTTCAATAATATTAAGTGTTATCTATTTATACAATAATATTCATCAAAGAGCAGTGTCATCACTCCAGCATGTTTCTGTTTGGAGGAGTATAATTATCTACTTACCAGTAAATAATATGTCAATTTGCGTGATGTTGACAGAGTTGCTGACTCTAACAGGAAAACTGATGTTCTTCAAGGCGTCCGTGAACGGTCCCACCAGTGCAATGTTGCTGACGCCGACTTCCACTTCGAGCATGTATTCGTACACCTGAACAACTTCTAGCAAGCAAAGAAACGAGAAACAGCATTTTATGACAGCACCTGAAGATTCAGTGTTTAATACTTATGATTATAAAAAAAAAAGATGAGCTTAAAGGAAGCATTTAAAGTTTCTCTCACCTGTCTTTAGCTGGCAGTATTCTCCATTGGTTGGAATACTGTTGATGCATCTGCACGTGCTGTTAGTGATCGCATCACAGGCTCCATATGTTATACAGTTTGTGTGTGACCAAACATACTGATCCTCACATATGCACTGGAAGTTGGTGCCATTTGGGTAACACACTAAAAACACATAAGAGCAAAAAAAAACAAAAAAAAAACAGTGAGCTGTGACAAAGAAAACTGCAGTAGTCAGATATTTTGCGACCTATTTTGGTTACATAAAACAAAATGAAACATAATATCACTGACAGGCCGCCGGTGTTCGGTATCTGCAGTCACAGGGCAGGGTAAAGTCTCCTGTGCTGCTCAGCCACTGCACGATTTTATGTTTTGTTTCTTGTTGAACTTTAACTTGTGCATGTGTGCACAGGCCCTCACTACACTACTACTATTTGCAACCACTGTAAATTTCCCCTCTAAACTTCTCAGATGGTTTGGTTCATTTAAATAAGTGTCTGAGGCCCAAAGAGTTAAAATTATACAATAATTTACAAAAACTAATATTTACAAATATTAGAGAAAAGTGCAAAAAATGTGATACTGGAGAGCTGCTGCTTCTGTTTTCTATTTATTTTACATTTGACCATGAACTCAATGTGTCTGGGTACTTTATACATTATTGGTAGTTTTAAGAAAAAAAAAAGAGATTCTGTACTGTACTGGGAGCAAATTAAGGGATTTAAGTACTGAAATATAGTAATAGCTATATTCAGATTTGAACATGGACTGAGCCTAATGGGGCCAACAAAATCTGTAAGACTTTGCATCAAAAAAGCAGATGTGAGCTCAAACAGACTGGACAGAGGACAGAAACTGCATTTAGGAAAAGACACTTGCACCAGCAGACGGTCCAGTCTTACCTGTGTTGATGTCAATGTGCGTGACATTCACAGTGGGACCCACAGCCAGGGAAAAGGTCCTGTTGTTCAGCAGTCTCCTGAGATAATCCACTGCCCCAACATCTGTCACATTCAGCTCCACCTCCACTTCATACTCAGTCGGAGCTTGCTGAGCTGCAGGAACCAAAAAATTCCAATCAAATTTCAAATTAAAAGTCCTCTAGCGTTTCAGTGGACAGAAACCCCTTTATTTCTTAACAGGGCTTTTATTGCTGTGCTGCAGTAAGCGTATTGTCTCTTTTCCAGTTGTCATTCACATGCTATTCAGACAACTACATTGCAGGATACTTATTTCCCGCTGTGCACAAGTCATACTTATCTAAACTAATCTCCTGGCAGCAGCTTCATATCTAACAGACTGATATGAGTATCAAACGTCTCATCTTACTCCTGGTGAGAAAGCAAGGATATTTACCAAACTGTTGGTTCATCATATTTAATGATTCTAAATTGTTGTACTGCCCATTTCTTCTCTGTCTGGTGTGAGGTAGACAGTCTTCTTCTGTTTCGCCTTCCTGAAGCAAAACACAAAAATAAACAAACAAACAAAAAGCACATCAGGTTCAAATTACCGCCTGGTGTTTTTTATCAAAGCACAAGCTCCATATTTTCTGTTGAGTAGTGTAAATACAGCAGACCTACCGGTGAAACCAGACATGAAAACTCAAAGATGTTCTGTGTTCCCAAAATAACAAGTGTCACGACAAGGGCAAAGATGGTCAAGCCATTCTTAGATATGGCCATTCCCTTCAAGAAAGAGAGGCAGAGAGGTGCAGAAAAGAAAAGAAATTATATGGTGAATCATTGTTTTACAGCCTATCGTTACACGCAGCGGATGTGAAACTTCTCCAACAGGTCACACTTTTGACATCTACTAACTACTGAACAAAGAAAAGTCAAGTTAATTATTAATGAAAGTTTAATAACATAATAATTAATTCATTATATCATTTTAGTCTTGTAGCTGTGGTTTCAGGGCAAATCCAAATTCAAAACATGGACTTTGACACTTCCTTCTGTACCACATACACCGATGCAATTATTATATTATATCATATTATAAAAGCAGTTCCAACTGGCGACGTCATTTGAACGGTGCGACATTTGTTTTGGCAGGTACTGCAGATAGTTTGTAAACCACACTGACAGGAAATAAACCAGCTGTGGGCCAGGGATTGTTTGTCTGTTGATTTGTTGCATCTGTCAGTTGAGTACTCTGCACATTTATTTACTCCGTGGCAGGATTCAAATCACAGGGTAACGTGCAGAGTGCAAATGGACCCATTTGAGAGAGACAGCTAACACTAGCTGGACCCCATTCCTTTGTATAATGTGTGATGAATGCGGGATTAGCTGGCGATGACTCAGCAAGTATTGTAAACACATAATCCCAGAGTAAATATACCCAAAACAGTTTTATCCTCTTTTGAAAAAAAATGGAAAAATAGCCCCAGTATCAATATAGTTTCAATTCTCTTACGTACAGAAATGTAATATATGACACATATGTCACCTATAAGGGGAGATATTATTAAGACATATATACATCCTCTGAATAAATGAAGATTTTTTTAACATATATGAAATACCCATAGTAAAATTTGTACAGTATATCAAAAAATACCTATGAATTTTTATATAGTTTAACATGTTGAGACTTTATATGTTAACAATATATATGTAATTTATATATATGCAAGTTTATTGAAACAACATACATAAAAAATTCCTATATGCTTATGTATGTGTTTCTTATTGTTGTCCTGTTAATTTTAAACATGTATATCTTCCCATTCTGGGAAAGTATTCTCATATAATATCAACATATATTGACTCTGGCTTTGGGATGGGTAAATATTTATGCAACATACTGTATGTCTATAAACATACATACATAAACATACATATTTGTGTGAGCTAGACATGTATGTCAAGATATGAAATTGTTCTAATTTTTACATATATTTAATAAATGGAAATTCAATATACAGTATGTACATATATTACATTTGCATATGGGTGACCCTGTCAACAGTTCTCAGGAGAAAGTAGTTCCAATGAAAAACACAGAAAGAAAGGTCTGGCAGCAGAAAATCAAAACTATCAGAATGACCAGGTACCAGCAACTAGAGGCAACAGAGAGTCCATGTTATAGGTGAAGCCAGGAGGTACAGACATGTGACCTTTTTTGGCTCCTGGCTCATAATCAAGATACCACATGCATTTGTTTAGAGATAACAGGCCTCACATTGTTTTCCAGTATACACACCTTTAATGGCTTGTCCTCTTCAGGGGAACTTTAGCAGCATTAAACAGAGACGCTCCCACATAGCGTTGGTTGTGAATCAACAGAATCCAGCGCTGCTTGATGGCTCAGATTCATCATGTTATAGACACCAGAATGGAGATCTGTTCAGAAATGGAAGAGGGTGAGAAATGCATGATGATAGTTAAAATGTATCATCTACTCGTGTGTTTCCAGTAGCACACACATATTTTCTTGAGGTGTTGTAACATGGCACAAAGACACATTGTGTACTGACACCTCTGTCGAGTCAGCGAGGACATCAAAGGCAGTGACATATCATTAAATGTTATTAGTATGAGGGAACATGAATTGGTTCACAGGTGCAGCACTTGACAAAGAAACTACTGTGATACCAACACAACAAGTCTTATTAGTGTGGAAAACAAGAATGTCTTTTACATCCCTCAGTCTTAACAACATCCACCTCACTTTTATCATTTGTCTATCATCTGTCCCTGAGGCAGCAGATTATGGAGCCCCAAAATTGACAGTGCAGTGTGTGTGCCTGTGTGTGTGTGTGCTTGTGTCCTTGGTATTGTGCCAACATGTGTGATTTAATGTCTCCTTTCTCATGTCAAATAAATCAAAAACTAAAATGTTTTAATGAGAATTTATGAGCTACCTCAATTAACTTGCTACAATTGTAGCAGGTTAATTTTAGTTATGTAATTGTAGCTAGCTTCAATGCAGCTAGCTACAACTGCATAACTACAATTAACTTGTCAGCTGATACGATTTAGCTTGTCACTCAGGAGAACCCAAATCATCATCACAAACTTCAGTGCAGTACTTTGCAGTAAAACACAATTACAATCACATTGCACATGCTGTCCAACATCTTAAAAATTGCATTACAGTTCTTTACAGCAGTGGTTCTCAAACTTTTTCACATCATCGACCCCTAAACTGACACAAATTAGACCACGGACCCCCGTCTGGTAAGACTTTTGCTGTTAGATGTTTTATTACAGAAAGTGTTTAAACCCATGAACAAAATAGCCATACACTCTGTCACTGTGTTACTTATGGATGGAATTACAGTGAAAAGAAATTCTTTTTGCTGGGGACCCCCAGGAACCCTCTCAAGGACCCCTGGGGGCCCCTGGACACCACTTTGAGAACCACTGCTCTACAGAATGTTTAAAGCAGACAAAGACATGGAGGGAGGTCACCATGTTCAGGATGCAAGAGAGAAAAACAAAACCTAATAGTAACTAATAATATAACCCAATATGCACAGTAAGCATGAAAATACGTCAAGAACCTCTCTGGTCTGGTCTTGGGTTAGTAAAGTTGTGTTATTGAATTTTATCTTACAGCAAGTCATTTTACTTCATTATGTTCTAGCACTAATTACACTTTCACAGAGAATAACAGAACCCGCCGAGTATTGCAAATACAAATGTAAATACTCGACAAATTCTGCCATCATTTTTGCTAAATTAGGGCAGTCGTCAACATTCCTCCCCCTGAGTCTATAATTACATGAGTACTTAGTACTCATGGGTTGGACTGCACCCATCTTTGAACTCGGTCGTCACACTTAATGACACACAAGTTTTGTGACAGCATCTCACACAGTTGTGATGATATCATAATGACAAAATTTGTCCACAAACAGACAGGCAGAGAGTACGGGAAACACTCTGTGAAGTTTCCGCTATATCCCGCCTCTTCTCCGTGACATGATGACACACACACACACACACACACACACACACACACACACACACACACACACGAAATCTGAAATGCAATTAGGATAAACTGGGAAAGAAAACCGCACTGCTAGATGGACAATATCAGTCTGTGCTGAAATTTCACAGTATATTCTAACTTTCAGAAAAACATGTTGATTCTTGTGGACAAATAAAAGTGATTTTTCATCACAGAATAATTGTCTTTGATCAGTATTGCCTTTGAGCATTGATAGCTACATCAACCTAACAATAAACAGTATTTTCACAGAACACACACAGCAGACATTGTGCAGTTTAAGTCAACAAAAGACGCAAATGAGTCAAAGCAAACAGTGGCAAATTGTTTTTCAGTGTTACCTGCCATTTCACACGCTCATACACAGACACCATAGAGCATGATTTCTATATAATCAGAAAAGAGGTCAACCTGTAAACAACCAGCTCCCTCAGTGAGTTCATTCCTGGAAAACACCTAATAAAACATTTTCCCTACAAAAAAAAGCCTGTTCACAGAAAAATGTAGATCATGGTAAATTTCTTACCATAGTTAACGTTTTCTCTCTGCTCTGGTGTAACTGTTCCCCTTATGTGTTCAGAAGACACACTTCATTACAGACTCCTGCAGAGTGTAGAGGCTGCCAAACCCGTATCTTGAACTATGGGAAACATGCTGCGCAAAAAACTTCCTGAAATATAGTAGGGGACACCCACTGCGCTGGCAGTGGCTCAACAGGTTTAATTATTCCCTGAGTTTCCTTATCAGATTTTAACAGCTTTTTTCTCTTTGTAGCTGTATACATGTGTGAAACAGAGACAATAATCTGGCAAAGAGGCGGATAGAGAGATTTATAGATTATAAAAGAAGACAGTATTTATTTTTTCCTTAACTAATTATGTAAATTATGTGAGTTCTTGGAAAGTTGGAGAAGCAGCAACTTGTTAACACAGTTATAAAGTAAGATGATAACACTTGTACCATCTATGTTAATCTATGTTAATCTAATTTAAGGTATGTATGATTTAATTATTTAATGAGATATTGCCAAGTAATAAAATTTTTTGATAATTTGCTAATTCAGTGTTATTTTTTTCATGTTATGAAGTGAGGAAGCAGTTCATGAATTCTGAAAGTCATGGTCACTGAATGCAAGTTGTGGCAAAGCGATGAAAAGTGATCCTCAGTTTAGTCCACATTGGCAGCTGTTGTGCTGACCGTGTGAAGAGAAAGTGGAACGGTGAACTCAGCACTGACAAATGTATCTGGCAAAGCACCGGTTCTTCTAAATTTGGAGCAAGTGCCGACTCAGAACTGGTTCTAGGTAGCCAAGCCTTGGTGCGATTTTCTGCAGTCTGTTTGTCCACAAACACTGCATGGCACTCCCAGGCCCGGGAAACCTTATTGTTGCTGTCATCAGTTTAGCTGCAGTTTAAGGTTTAGAAGGGTTTGACCTGTATCGTTTTGGGAAAAATGTTCCCTCAAAAACCCCGTTATTGTGTTTTCTCTACTTTTAAGAAATCACTAAGGTCACCGTATCTAAATTAAACCTAACACTTCCCTCCCTTGAAGAATGTCAGCGTCGTTCACACAATAAATGCCCCATGTTCAAGTGACAAAGCCCTCCAGCAGTAATTATAACTGCAGCAAAAGAGAAGGTCATGTGAAAATTGTTTTGAAGCAACTAAGTCTGCGTAAGAAGGAGGCTTTGGTGGATGGGTTAACAAAAAACAATGTATTTTGTCATTTCATTCGGAGGACTTGTGTCGTAAACCTGGTCTAAGCAAAGGGTCAGCAGTTAGTGTCATCTGTTGGCCAGATTATCAGTGTAGTTTATCAGGGAATGAGGTAGGACAGGTGGAGGCAGGTAGGTTTTCAGTATTTTACATATTTTGTCTTTGCTTTGTTTAATATGTATTTTCTGTGTTGCACTGACACTAGAGATTAGGCAGCGCTAGATGTCACAAGGTCCTCTTGATTGGGATTTACATGAGCTTTCTAACTACAGTAGATTTGTGAAAAAGCACGTCATTCTTTTCTATCTATCCAGAGAGAAGCCTGAGAGAGGAGATGTAAAACTACATTGAGATGATTTTTGGTTCTTAAAACCACAAATATATCTTCCTATGAGCAGTTCAAATAAATAAAGTTGAGACAATTGCATTGTCAGATAAAATATTCATGAATTATTTTTTTAAAAAGATCAATCAGAGTGCAACTGGATATATATTATTATATGTATAATGTTACAGTGATTTGTATTTGTTTTTCTTTAGAAGCAAGAGATATTTACTGAACTAGAAAAGCAGTTATCAGAAACCAGTTTCTTCAGTTAGCATTTTTCTGAGTGACAGACAGCACTCATGAATCACCTCACTGATTTCAGATGCAAGTGTCACTTTACACACACAGGCGTAGTTAAACATCTTCAATGTGTGATGGAAAGTGTTGAAAGACAGAAAAGGCTGTCTGTTGTCAACCTCATCTGATCCCCTATTGTGTTTGGTCAATCTCAGCAACAGACTCCATAGCTGCAGTGATGCTGTACACAGTTGCAATGACACATAGCGAAAGGAAACACAACCTTCACTCAACATTAACTTGCTCTGCAGGTTTCTCAGCACTTCCAGTAAGAATATGAGACTTGACCTCTCTCAAAAAAAATGCACTTTCCTCTGCTGTCTGTCAGCAGTTTCACTTAAAACCAGAGCTGTAAAAACAAGTCACTGCTGGGTCCATTAGTGAGGCTGGGCAGTAATTTGAACACTGGTGGAGTCGTACAAATAGTCAGTTGGCTGATTTCCATTTGATCTTTGACGTATCTGCAATATTCAGACAACCTATTGAAATGCAAAAGTATTTCAAGGTGTCAAGCTTGAAGATGAGGTTCAACATTTGGGTGTTAATTTATTATGCAAGCTCTGCTGGCTGGTTTTATTCCAGGGATTCAGCAGATTCAATTATATAACGAGTTGGAACAACACTAAAGCTGAGTTATTACTTAAGTTATTGCTTTTAAACACATTTCCATGTATTAATTATTGTTTGTAAATTCATGCAAATATATAAACTTTAGAAACAGTGCAGATCCGGTCTATCCCTTTTAGCCTGTGCTCTGCTAATGCTGGAATGCGTCGCTGTAACATACAGATTTGTGCATGAAAATACTTGTTTACTGACCAGCAACTAAAAAGTTTTACTACTTAATTTAGCGAGTGAAAATTTCTTTTTGCAAGTTTTGGTGAAAGGTAATAGTTATTTTCTAAAAGGTCTGTCTAACAGGTATCTAATATCAAGCCCTTATACCTTACACCCAACAACAGTGATTTTCAGGTTGTTTCCTCCCAAGAACGGTTGTGTCTGAGTCAAAATCAGATAGCGAGGGGAAATACAATCTGTTATTACAGCTACAGCATGAGGAAGTACGATAGGAGATGGAGGAGGTGCTTTTATCGTATTGCAGGTGTGGTGTTTGACAAATATGGAAGGTGAGTAAATATGAAGCCGGTTAAGTATTTTCGCAAGCTCTTTATCAATGGTATTAGTTTGTTTGGCACACAACCAGATCCTTTAAATCAGTTACGGTAAGGGTTTGTGAACAAAAGACTTCACATAGGAACTGTAGGACATGAGCACTCTATGATCAATATAAAATGTAATATGATGAAAGTCTTGGCTGTAGTGAAAGGGCTGTGGAATAGTAACTTAAGAATAAGACCATCGCTCACATTATTATTTTATGCGAATGACAACAGCAAAGTGATATTGGTACTTAGCTAATGTTAGCTAAACCATTCAGTTAGCTGATTCACGCATTAAACCTATTCAGTTTTCTATTTAATTCGGTTGAAACAGGTAAGTCATTCATAGGGGAACAATGGCCACCTCCAATATGGCTGCCGGGAGATACATTACATTACGCCCTCTATTCTGTTCTCTTAAATAACATGTCCTTTGTGAACTGGTGGGATCAAAGACATCTCTGTGACTCAGACTTTCAGTAGGTCCTTGGCCTATTACAGAAACTCACACACCCGCCCCCACATACGGTACACTCAGACACCCTCGCACATGTACAAGAATCTTATTCAAAAAACTGCACCGTCCACAGTCGGTGTAACTGGAGCCACACTGACCCTCTCCACTGCCCATTGTTGGTAGTTAAATGACAGAGTGACAAATTTACAACAATGAAAACACACTAGAAACTGAACTTGTAGGTGTATGCATGTGCATGTGTATGTGTAAAAAAGAAAAGAAAAGAAGTATGCGCCACTGTGGGTGTGTAGGGTATCAGGGAAAATTTGACAGGACATGATTGTAGGTGACACAAGATTTACACCTGTGTGTTTTAAAGCTATTTCTAGACCGAGAATGACGAAAAGGGGGGAAAACCGTAACGAAAAGAATGGAAGCGGCACATTATTTAAACTATTATTCCTCTGTGTGACAAAAACATACGGCGTCATTTTGACATGTGGCGGTAAGAAAAGCACAAGTGTAGATAATAAATTACTGATGGTGGAATTCCATTTAGCTGCTCCAGTTTCAGTGTCCTGATTTGGTGCCTGCTGGCTCACTGTTTGAAATACTTCTACCAACATGCTTGTCTGTAAATATATATATTAAAAGTTTTTAAAAGTTTAAAAAAAAATAATTCACACCTTGCATTAATCATGATAATTGGCATCACCTGGTGTTAGCTTAATTAAGAGAGCCGGAGTGTACATCCAATACAAAAGAAGGAAAAATATGAGTATTATAGACACCTTGACCTATTTGTGACCTCAGCACTCTGTAAGTTTCTGTGTTTGAATTCAGTGTTTCCACATTGTGCACCACCTACTCCTTTGGGCAACATACTGAACATGCTTATCATACATTCAGAGAAGTAGAAACAGGGTGTAGTGTCGCTGTCTGTATAAATATTGGATTTCAACATTAGCTTTGCCGTTGTATCATTCCAGGCAGACAAAAGATCAGACATCTGTTAGATTTGTTTGAAAAATATCTTCGAAGATGTAACCTGCTGTTTACAGAGGGAATACTGTGTGATATTATCATTATCACAGAGTGCCTAAGTATTATGCATTGACAGGTGAAACTCGTTGAGCTGTACTGAAAACATGGCCTGAGAGTCTGGCCCTGCATGTTGCAATTTGGCATGAGGATGTTCCTGTTTGTCCCTCTAAGTGTTTTCCATTTCTCTGACAGGGGTTGACACCACAGCACTTGACAACCCCCTAAAAAGCTGGTGATAAAAGTGGCCATTCTGACAGTTGGTGGGCACTTCAGAGCGAAGACCAATAGGCTTTGAGGGGCGTGGAAACAGTTGAGAGCCTGCTGCATGAGCTGTGTCACGCAGACAAGGATCAGCTCTGTTTTTAATGGTTCCAAAAGGTGTCTTAGGGATAAAAAGTATGTTTTCTATTATTTCATATTTAAGAGTTAAAGCACATTTCTCCCAGTTTTCCTTTTAGAGAGGTTTATCGGCGCCAGTGAAAAAAGGAACTATAAAGGCCTACTTAACTAAACTAGTAGGCCTAGAGGCTTTGAAGCTTCACAGAGCAGTTTTTGACAAGATGTTGAAGTATTGTGGAGCTTTTTGATTGTTCTTGTATGAAGTATATCCTATTGGTAGTTATGTGACTTTTTTTAAAAGGCGAGGACTGAAAAATACAAAAAAACAAACACGTATGAGCTGATGTAGTTTAGGTTGGGTTGTAGTCACATGCACATTTTCAGGAACTAGAATATGTTACCTTTCTCATGAAAGGTCTCATGAACGAATTTTGGCCTTAAAGTTGTTCTGTTACAAGCTCATTACATTTACATATGCAAATTGATGCAAATTAGGTTTAAAACAAGTTGTGATCAAAAAGTGACAACTACACACAGCATTATGACAAATGTTTTGATCTTTAATTGGTTGATTTTAAGAGGTTACATAGTAGTAAACATACTGGTTATACGTGTGAAATTTGATGAAATCATCCACTCGAGCCACATTTGCATTTCACATCTCACCGTCATCCTTTCAGGCTTCCCTTAGAAAACAAAAAGCTCACACCCTGCCGTTTGAGTCTCCACAGCGCAGTGGAGAGCAAGCTCACACATCCTCATCATCATCATCATCATCATCATTATCATCATCATCATCACCATCATCATCGTCCACAGCAGCGCAGCCTCCACTCCTCTTCATTCAGTCTGGAATACTTTAAATAGTCATTAGTCCGGGGGTCAAGTCGCCCCTGTTGTCAGGCTAACCGGTGAGAGTTCACGTCTAGCACCACAGTAGCTTTGTTAGTAACTGGCTTGGTGAAAACAGAGTCCATCGTTTGCTGCTCTCATGGCGCCTGCAAAAACATCTTCAAACCTTCATGAGTTTTTTTTTTTTTTGTTCCTTTTTTTTCATTTTTTGGTGGAGCTTCTCAGTCTTGTTGTTATTTTAAGAATGTGGAACATGGAAGGAACTGAAAGAGTACATTATTTCTTCCTCATTTAAATCAAGTAACACAAGTAGACTTCAAGTAGAGTATGGAGTATGCATATCTTACATCCCAGCCCGGTCATCTTGCAATGCCAAGCTGGGGGTGATTACATCTGAATGCCCGTAAAAACATGAGATACAAATAAGTCGAAATGCTAACGAAGAGGTGCTACAATAACATGATAAATCAAACTAAATGAAGAAAAACATAACCACAGAATCAAATGTTAATTAACAGCATTTCAGAATAAAAGAAAGAGAAAGTGAAGGACACAGAAAATACATGTCTGCCTCTCCGATAGAAAATTGATTTAGTGCATCATTATTACATTTTAATATTAGAGCATGTAGCAACATACAACAGCATGAAATAAATCACTTGTGTTCTATTATCTCTTTATTTTCTCTAGCACTGAAACGCTCAGACACTCGCGTCTGATCGAAAAAACTTCACCGACACCAAGCTCCAAAATGGATCAAGAACACTTTGTCGACGCTACATTTGTTGAGGCATACGGGGGAAAGCTAGTCCGACAGTGACGGAGCTGCCAAAGCGACATATCTAAACTGTTTTAGATACATGGCTTTGGTTGTGTAGAGGCAGGCTGGGGCAGCAAACACTGTACCATTCCTGTTCACTTATATGTTTGTTTTGTAGCAAACAGTTCAAGGCAAAGCCATATATCATAACATTAAATAAGGTTAATATTACTTCTGTGCTGTAATACTGGATGATTTTGACATCTATTCCAATGTTTTTGATATATGGCTTGGTTTCCAGAGCAGCAGGTCTGCTCTCTCATCTAATGCTGCCACCTGCTGGTCTGGCAGAGTGGTTGCAAGCTAAAAGACCCACAGATCATCTGTAGTACTTACAGCTGGAGGGGGTGGAAGTAAAAAAAAAAAAGACGTGAGAAAAGGGACATTTAACAAGTTCAGGCACGTGATTTGTGATTTATGGGTCAGTTCACACCTAAAATATCTTTGAATTTATGGTTTACAAGAACCTTAAACCCCTTAATACCAGTGTCATGTAGAGTTATAGCTTATTTACTATTGTCTGTGTGTATTTTCCTTTCTTGCAATCACTACCATGTTATTTTGAGTATCACTTTTTAACACTGAAATCACGTTAAAGGCAAGAGAAGCCTGGATGATTGGCACAACCAACAAAAAACAACGGTATTATCCTTTAAACGCGAAGGCATTGGCCAGTTAGGATAAAGAAAGTGCTTTTTATGTTTTTTTTTCATACATGTTCGGCTCCTTTTCAACCCAGCCTTTTTAAGTTTGAAGCCTGTTAAGCCTCATTGTTAAGGTCACGATACTTGCGTAACACCGCCTTAAACAAGGCTGAACATACTTAAGAAAAGTGAAAAAAGTACACATCATCGTGACACTCAAAATGCTCTCATTACATTGATTGTTGACCCTGTATCATGTCAGAGGATGGAGGTCATTTGGAGGAGTAATAGTGTGCACACACAAGACGACAGAGGAAGGAGACTGGAAGGTAAATAGGAGTAAAGTACCAGTAAAGATTTGAAAGAGTCATTGAAGGGAGTCGGCACCTTATCTATAACACCCAGGTAAGATTGTGAGAAAACGACACGGTGAGTCAGACGCCATCAGATCAAATATCAACCCAAGCTCAATGAGAACAAAACCAGATCTGACTCATCCCTCCTGCTTAGACATTCCTTGTTAAATCCTGTGCTGATTCTCGTCTGTGTGGTTTCTTGCTCCTCTCTCCACCGGTTTACAACAGGTCCGGGAGGTGGCTGTAGACCGAGTCCAGCAGCGTCTGGCTTGCCTCCTGACTCTTGACTCCCGCAATCTCAAAAAGCCGATCCAGCTTGTCCTCGGCGGCCGGGATCTCCTCGATAACGTGCAGCTCTTCTGGGTTCAGGATGTGCAGCATGTCGTCGAAGATGGGCTGCAGGTCGCACGGGTCCAGACGCACCTGCCGGAGCACAGTGTCTTTTTTCTCTGGAGGGGAAACAGAAAGGAGGAGCAGTTGTTGTAATTATGCTCTAATCAATATTTTTATGTTGCATTTTTCAGATTAATGTTAAACATTTTTTAATAATTACTAAATATCAGGGGAAAATAAAGAGCCCAGAACAAGTAAAATAGAAAGAAACTCAAGTGGCTAACTGGTGCTAACCAGCTGCTTAATAGAGTTCTGACACTTTCTTTTGTGACCAGGCTTTTATTTGTTTTTACTTTGAGTAATAAAATACTCAAATGTAATGTAATGTATGTATGATATAAAGATGTTAAGTTTTCTAAGTGAAGTTTTGTGATTACAAAGTAATTGTACTTTATCACCTTTTTAACTTTAACAAGAACAGAACTGGGCGAGAACTGAGGCTAAAGTCCAATCAAATCAGTCAATTACAATCCTGTGTCTAACTGTGCATATTTTATTATTATTTTACAACATGTTTTGAATTAAAACTGTCTAGATTACTGTATAACTTTAAATAAGTTAAATAACCAAAGTGCTAGTTCGTTGTAGCTTGGAAAGAACTAGCACACAATAATAATTTTAAAAGACAATCACAATAAATCCCAGGCAGCGGTTTATGGGGGTTTGTATACACTTTTCTGAAATATTCCAAAATGTCACAGAAAGTGTGGCTACGGATCCCAGTACAATTTTCTATTAACATAAATTATTGCTAATACAATATCTTATGTGGTTTTAATTGAAGAGCAATATGCAGAGGGACCACACGAGGGCACTGAGCGCCCACACATCCAGATTTGAACTGAGTGCACTGTGTCACATCATTTTCAATAAGCCTGAGACACATTAGTGAGTGTCTGAATAACTTGCCAAGAGTGTGAAGAATGTGAAACTGCTGATACTCAGCATCTACACAAGGCACTGCCAACAAACCAGTCTCTCTCCTCTGAGAATAATGATCTGTCTCGGCTACTAGAAATGCCCCGTCAGATAAAAATGTGGGACATGTGGGAGTGAGTCTCCGGTGGGTGATAAAGAATTCTTTTTAAAGTTACTTTAGGGATTATAAAACCTATTAATATAATCTCTTTTATCTAAGTTAGGCAGGCTTTGGATGCCATAAAAACAGCATCAGGTAACAGGTTACTTGATATGCTGAAAGTTTCTACACCGATACCTGCAGCATTTAAAACACAGCTGTTACTGTCAAAATGGCTCCCACAGATAACAAATGGAAAAAGCTAAAACTGCTTAAAACAAGACTTTAACACATGTCACTCACTGACCAGTGAATGATGTGTGAGTTACTGCATATCATAGCTATGTAATACTGTGTTATTAATCATATATGATCTCTTTCAGTGTTTGCTGCTTATAAATGCTAAATAACGGAGTTAAAGATAAGTGTTACTAACTTATTTTTCATTAATTACAGCTCCTATATGACAAAGTTAAAACTTTTTATCATTCCTTAAGTTTTCTTTTATTCTTACTGATGGTGATTTTTGTGTTTTGTTAACGGTCCTCTATGAATTTCATTATCTTTTAAGATTTTCAGTGCGTTTGTTAGCATTAGCTCACCTTAAAGTAGCAGTGCTATTTGAACTTTATGAGCTAGCAACTGTGAAACCACAACTATCAAACTCAAACAGAGGGATTTTTGTAGAATTCATTTCATATGGACTAAACATGTTGTTAGCAGACTGTTTTTACCAAGGAGGCTGAACTTTAAGAAACCAAAAACACTAACAAGGTCCAGTGAAATTAAAGTGCTGTGTTCCTTATTGCTATCTTTTCCCTGACAGAGATTATAGCTCCATACAGTGTACACTGTAGGTTCAGTGAGCCAATCAGAAGAGAGGTTGAGAACCTCGTCTCTTCTGATTGGCTCATCCACCTGTTGTTATTACAGCTTCAGAGAGAAGCCTGAGAGAGGAGATGTAAAAGTACATTGAGATGGTTTTTGGTTCTTAAAACTACAAATACATCTTCTTATGGATCAACACTTCAGATAAAACACAGGAAAAGTGTAAAATATGGAGCTTTAAAGATGTAGAATACCAGTATGTTTGTTTGCAAGCTCAAATTAAAAGGTGGGATCCCTCAGTAAAGCGGTGAGGTTCAGCCTCTCACCTTTGGTAATGAAGGAGCCGTTCCTGCTGAGGGCGGAGTCTTTGCTGGAGGTGGAGTCACAGCGAAGCAGAGGCTCCGACTCGTCGGGGAAGAAGCCTTTGGTGCGGTCAACCGGCGACTGCTCCACGCCGACCCCACTGGCCCCGCCCACGCTACCACCGCTGCTGCTGCCACTGTTGCTGCCGCCGCCGACGCTGCTGGGAGAGTCCAGCGCCTTGTGGATGGGACTGAGGCTTTGGCTTACATTCACTGAGGTCATCAGCTGGTTGATGTCAAACTGTGGAGGGAGGAATGGAGAGAGGAAGAGGATGAGGGAGGGGTGGGGCAGGAAGAGAAGAAAAACATGAGTGTAAGATGAACCACTGTTCAAACACACTATTGTATTGGCTGGTATTTGCACAAGCGTCTAGGAAACACCGAATGCAGCGTCTCATTTCCCTGTCTCTCGTTCTCTCAACTCTCCTCCCCTCATCCTTTCTTTCCGTCTTCATATCCTCCTTCTTTTACTCTTTCTCTGTCCCTCTCTTTTCTCTCTCGTTGTACCACATTTTCTTTCTGTCATGAAACACACACATAAACACATATTTAAAGAAACACTCAAAAGTCACATACAGCGAAATGCCAAACCAGGAGGAAGCTGAAGAAATGACATTTCTGATGGAGGACAGTGGTGCAGCAGATGCTCATATGGACCACCTAGTTTTAGTAATATCACATGTACATTGATTGATGATTACAATATTGATTAAAAAAGAACAACAACAAAAAAAACACTGGGCACATGATCCTCTTACACTGACATTAATAATCTAATAATAATATATCAACGATTCCACCATGGTCAGATCCAGTGAGAATACACATGAACTAAAGAACTATATGAAAATATAAAACACACAAGGTAACTCTGTGTGAGAGGTTGATATGAAACCTCTATAGATTTAACTGTATCCAGGCTAAACATCCATTTGCCCTCCAATTGTGAGAGGTGTCACCTTGTCACCTTGTTTTCTTATTGATATTGCAATACACATGAAAACATATATAACATATAACAAATTGTTTGAGGTTGACAGCTCCATCCTTTCTTCTTGATGTCATTTCCTTGAATCCATTTTGGTTCTTTCACCTTTGTTTGTTTCTTTAAGTTTTCAGCTCATTAGTTTCACATCCTGTCATATTTGTCTCCTCACATTTTCTCCGTCTTTCTCGTTGATCCTTTCTCTCCCTTCAACTTTAACTTGACCTTACTTTCTCTTCCTTCTACCCAATCCTTGTTTTTTTTCCCTCCTCTGTTCATCCTCTCCTGTTCCCTCTTTAAAGTTTCATCCTTTTTTCTCCCTCAGTCCCATTTTGTCTCATTTCCTCCTCTGTTCTCCTCATCTTTCTCTCTCTCTCTTCCTCTGTCGCTGCCCCCCCCCTCTCTCTCTCCCTCTTTGGTGTGGTAATGAACCTGTGGTTTGAACCAGTAGCGACTGGTTTGGGGGATGAGATCATGAGAGCATGTCTTGTTTTTCTCAGCGTGAACCCACTCGGGCCTAAAGGTCGCAGCAGCACAGAGGTCACCTCATTCACCGAGCTCACTGGGAATGAAAAACGGAGCTGAGGGAAAACTAGACCCAAGAAAAACAAACAAACAACCGAACAAAGCAACAGAAATTGCCTCAGAAAAAGCCTTAAAGGAAATCCATTTTCATGCAGCGGAGGTTTCAATCTTTTCTGATGGATTCTATTCAGTTCAGTTGGATTGCTCCAACAGGACATGACACAGAAACTCCGGCGCTGTTCTCTTGCTCTTGTGTTTTTTCTTTCTCTACTCCGTAACGTCTGGGTCAGTGGGCTGCAGCGTGACACGACTTACGTGACTCCGACAGAACAAACACGCTCTGTCTCGCTGCACAAAGGCGTGCATACATACATGCACAGCGGCGCACTGACACGCGTGCACACCGTGACAAACACACACTCCCTCTCACACAACAGCAGATGCACCTGGAACAAATGTTTTGTTTTTTTGCTTTTTTTTTAAGAGCAGATGCAGAAAAGAGAAAAACACATAGACCCATGGGGGGGGGGGGCAAATTTAGCAGCCTCAAGGTAACAGGAAGTCAGCGCATATGTACGACATACACTTGACAAAGTTACACAATCTCATGTTCAGCTTTGTGGCACAGATGTCAACTTCCTGCAGTTGTTGTGGCTCACTGTGTCGAGGTCTGAATTTAATATTAATCATTACCTGCACAGGTAAACTTGTACTTATTGTTGCTCACTTCTCCGTTCTAGTTCTTGTCTGGATCTAATAACAGTAGAACGAAAATTAGCGCGTATAAGCAGGATTTTTTAAACACAGGTACATCCACTTAAAAAGGCGACACACTGACTGAAGGGTGTGACTTTCTATTCGGACCGAGACGACACAGACACACAACTGCATCATCACATGCAGTTACAGAGCACACACACACACGTGCGCACACACACACACACACGCAGATTCAAAGACTGAGCTGTTAGCTGTCGTGCAGACTAACAGGGGTTGGTGCTCCTGTAAGTGCCGGAGCCTCCATGTGAGACGCTTTGGTCAATGATTGTGTGTTTTTAAGAACTTATTTCCGGGCAGGTGAGAGGTCTGTGACTGGGACTGGGTGAACTGCAGTCATTGGACGTAGGAGTGAATTGTACCTCAAAAGCCTTGTGTTGGCGAGTGTGAGCGGGTTTTTGAACCAGTGTAAAAGAGGCTTAAACAACCTGTTTTCTCATAAGCATCACCTGCCCAGTTTTAACCCCAGATTCTCTTAGCAACTGGAAGCCAGGACCCCCTTCCTATAGCTGGACCACATACTGCCATAAAGGGGCCCATCTCCTTGTGGGGCCCTAACCCAAACAGTTTAAACCTTAAAGAACACAGCTGAAAGACGAGAGCATCCCGTCATCGTTGCTTTTGTTTGATTACCCACTGATGGAAGAGAGTGTTCAGCCAATCTCAGGACCTTTCAAACTGTCTGACTGCAGTGCCTTGCTCAAGAGCAGGTTGGCAACAGTAAAGGAGGGAGAATGAGTTGTCCCTGACCACACAGAGACACTTCTCCACACCCCCCCCCCTCTGATGTTTCTGACTATATAGGATTAAATAGTGGGCGGAGCCACTCTTTTTTTGATGACACAATACTGAAGGTATACGGTATACGGCATCAGCTATAATCATTACAGCAAGTCCAAGAAATCCTGTGTTTTGTTTTTCTTTGTGTGTCTGATCTAAATAATTTGATACTCATGAGCTGCAGTGGTGACGGCGAAGAAGCCAGTAAGAGGCGCAAATCAAAAATGCAGCAAAAATTTTGAACAATTTGCATGGGAAGTTTTGGGAAAGAACACTGTATCAGAGAACTGATGTGTGTTAGTTCACCATCAGTGCAGCCCAGGACAGAAACTGAAGCTTTCTGAGAGAAAAGCTTTGTGGTAGGGGTGATTAACTCTCCTCCCTGTGCTCTCTGTGCCTAATTTTTCATAAAAGAAAGAGATGTTTTGGATAATGTGGATAATCTTTAGAGTTTCATGCACGTTCATGTCTTAGAAGTTCTCCAACTGTCAGAAAATTACCATCGCTTTTACATCTAGATGTTCAAAGTAACTCTATCTGTTCTGCAGCTTAATAACCTTTGATGTGTGATGTGTGTCGTCTTACTTGATGCCATTAAATGGGTGAACTGCATGCATGATGTACAGGCCGTATAAACTAAATTACACTGCAGCAACAAACATTATCAGCCCACTGCTTTGTGAAAAGCCCTGCCCACACAGATAGAGCACTTTATCTGAAAGCGCCTCAGACCACATGGAATCTGATTTCTCTCTGCTGGCAGACGTGAGGAGCTGCTGAGGATGGAGCTGGAGTGCCAGGCTCAGTATACGGAAGAATAGTATGGCACGTGCGCAGCTAAGGTGTGTGTGTGTGTGTGTGTGTGTGTGTGAGTGTGTGTGAGAGAGAGAGAGAGAGCGAGAGAGAGCGAGAGAGAGACAGAGACAGTGAAAGAAAGAAAAGGATCAGGCTGAATTGTCAGCACAAGGGCCTGTTGGGGACAGGGGCTTATACACACACACACACACACACACACACACACTGAGCCAGCCTGCCTCACTGGCAGAGTTGGCAGATTTCAGCAGCATGAAGGACACAGGGGACAGAAACACACACTGGGGCTACTTTGATTAATTAGATCAAAAATGTTACAGCAAAGAGTCTCGCTCAGCTGTAATAACTCCCCAAACAGACGAGCTATTAAATAAGATGCAGCTAAGAAAGGAGCCGAGCCCAGTCTCACTGTTAGAAGCTGTTTGATGTCACCGCACATCCAGCCTTTACCTACTTCATCTGTGACATTCAAAGTAGATCCTCGGTGGATACGCCAGCTCCCAGACTGCGTTATAGCACGCTTAATGTCAGATACACTCACAAACACATGCAGATAATCTCCCTGAATTACCTTTAAAAAAGAAACAGTGCAGTTTCTGGGAAATCTCTGTCCGTCCGTCCCCCTACAAAGTAATGGATGTGGTTTCATTTTATTATCTTATGGGGCTCGTTATGGAAACGACTGAAAGGCGTCTAATGGGACCTGAATCGTAAACACCCAATTAAGGCAGAAATTGCATTTGATTGTGCATCACTGTGGCACGAAGGGAAACATGACTACTGTAAAGATGTCAGTCTCTGTGTGTGTGTGTTTTATTGTAATATACACATAACAAAGAGCTGATTCTTCAGCTTCTCGTGTGGCAGACTACTTCATATTTAAATAAGTATCCATTAAAGCATTTCGCTAATATGTGATTTCCCTTTTTACTTTTCCTGCCAGTTTTACAAAATAAAAACCGAGTAGGTTAAAAATAACATCTCCATTTGGCCCCAAACAGTCAGATGGTAATCTACAGACCTCACAGAGGAAATATACTGAGTGAATCTGCATTTAATACGATAAAGAATTTATTGCTGCAGCATATTTCCAAAAACAAATCACACACGTTCACTGTCTGTATGTCCTCCTGACTCTTCTTCCTGTGTTTTTAGTCTTGAAAAGAAGAATATCACACACACTGCTCCTGCTCAGCATCACAATTTATGGCCCATCCGAGCGTTTCGGTCTCTGCAAACCTTCGCCAGATGTATTTTAAACAGCTCTTACCACCATGATCTCAAATAGATAATGCTCCACCCATCTATTTAAGAATATTGGTGTAAGAATTGTTTAAAATGAATGACATTCCCATCAGCCT